CTGGAAGTAATCATCCTACTTATGAGCCCCATGAAGCTGGGGTGACAGGCACATGCCAACCACACCCAGCTTTTCATTAGTTGAGATGGGGGTTTCACTAGCTTTTTGTCCAGCTGGCCTCAAACCATAATCCCCACTGATCTCTACCTCCCAAGTAGCTGGGATTACAGTATGGGTGCAAGTCATCCCACCCGGCCTTGGGGCGGCTTCATGTGGTGACCTCTGCGTAGAATGGTGGCACTGGACACTTCTCCAGCCCGGTCTATCCTGACTTGTTCCTGAGAAGTCTGTTCCACTGCTCCTCCCCCAGGACAGTAACAATTCTGCTTCCTAAACGCCTTGAGACCTCCCACCCCTCTCCAGCCTAACCTCGCTCTGATGGAAGCCTTAATTGGTCCACTTGTGTATGGGTGGGGTCCCAGCAGGAAACAGGTGACGCCTCAAACTGAGTAATTTGGAGAAGTTAATTAAGAGACAGGGAGAGAACTGGTTCCCCTTGGGGCTAGTTACAGGGGAGCCATTAGCTCCCCCAGGCCTGCCTGCCTGCGGGGACTTGGGGAGCCATGGCTGTCTGCTTGGGGAGGGCGAGGTCACTGCAGGGAGAGGCCTGGTTGGCTCTGCCGCCTGTGGTAGAGAGAGGCAGGTCTGGGTGGGGCGTCCCACTGGCCACCCCCATCCAGAAGCTTCAGGAGGACCGTGTTGTGCGGCCCACTTGCAGTCCAAGTGTGGGGGTGCATGGAGAGCGGCGGGAGGGTAAAGAAAGAACACAACCTGCCTGGCCTCCCCTCCACCCCTCCCCGCCATCCGTCCCGTCACCCCCTGGGGTGAAATCAGCGGTTGAGGTCCCAACTCTGCCTCCCTGACAGGGAGCAGGCCGCAAAGCCTGCTGTCCCCAAGCCATCCTCGGTCAGTGAGCTGAAGCTGGTGAGATGGCAGTGTTCTATGCAAATGTGTCACCAACTCAGAAACTGTTGTCCCCCAAGTCACTTTTTTCACTGAGAAAGCTTTATAGACAATGACTAAGCTAACTGCAAGGAGCACCCACCCCCGCACCCAGCACTCAGCACCCAGCACCCACCCCCGCACCCAGCACCCACCCCCGCACCCAGCACCCACCCCCAGCACTCAACATCAACCCTTGCACCCAGCACTCAGCACCACCTCCACACCCAGCACCCACCCCTCAACATCACCCATCACCCAGCACCCACCCCCCCACCCAGCACTCAACACCCAGCACCCACCCCTGCACCCAGCACCCACCCCTGCACCCAGCACCCACCCCCAGCACTCAACATCAACCCTTGCACCCAGCACCCAGCACCCACCCCTGCACCCAGCACCCAGCACTCAACACCCACCCCCACCCCCAGCACTCAACATCAACTCTTGCACCCATCACCCAGCACCCCAACATTCGGCACCCACCCCCACACCCAGCACTTATCACCCACACCCAGCACTCAGCACTCCTCATCACCCACACCCAGCACTCAGCACTCATCACCCACCCCGACACCCAACACCCAGCACTCAACACCACCCCCGCACCCAGCACTCAGCACCCACACCCAGCACTCAGCATCCAGCACCCAGCCTGTCTTTTCTAAATACCATTTCCCACTAGAAAGGAACCAGGGCTCCTTGGAGGAATGGCAGATTCCAAATCTGGATGAGAAGTGTAACAAGACAAGCTGGAATACCATTCACTAGAAAACAAGGAAAGCAATACTCCTGAGGTCAGGTTGCAAGAACTCAGCACTTACCCTGTAGATACAGCTACAGGCCAAAGAGGAAACAATCTGAACACTGAAAAACATATATGGCCAGGCACTGGTGGCTCACGCCCGTAACCCTTCACAAAAAAGCGCTGGTGGAGTGGCTCAAGGTGAAGGCCCTGAGTTCAAACCCCAGTGCCGCTAGGGAAAAAAAATGTACTAAGCATGCACGTATGCATGTACTCGTGGACTGGAAGACATGAAATGTATTAAAGTCCAGGCGTTCATGGTTTTCTAAAAACGAAATTCATTAGTCACCTTTAGAAGGTGCTAGGGAGCTGAGCTGAGCTGTGGTGAGGCGGTAGAGCGCTTGCCTAGCATGTGTGATTCCCTGGTTGCCATCGCCAATATTGCAAAAGGAAAAAGAAAGAAATGCTAAAAAAAAAAAAAAAAATCCAGACTGTTCTGAATGAACAGACTCCAGGGTTTGCCAGTGTTTTCTGAGGAATCCTTCCCAAAGTTTTTTTTTTTTTCTTTTTTTTTCCTTCTTGTTACTGAGTTTGAACTCAGGGCCACACTCAGTAAGCCCTGTCTTGTGTTAGGTTTTTTCGATATAGGGTCTCGTGAACTGTTAGCCTGGGCTGGCTTTGAACCTCGATCTTCCTGATCTCCGCCTCCTGAATTGCTGGGATTACAGGCGAGAGCCACTGGCATCCAGCCATGTTTGTGTTTTAAAATTATTTTGTAGGTATGATAACAGTAGACCCTTCCTCCTTTTCTTCCCTAACTCCTGTCCCCCTCCGTTTCCCTTCCTCCCTCTGGCACTATTACTATTTTGATCTGGACACTTTTCTTGTGGGCTGTCCTCTTGCACTGTATGGTGCTTCGCCCCCCAGGCTCTCCCCACCAGATGCTAGTAGCACCCCCTTGCCAGCTAAATGTCTCTTGGGGAGAATTACACCCTGTTGAAAAACACTCAGAGATAGGCACTGAACATTTATGGTTGAAATACTGTACCTGAGATTGTCAAAACAACCCAAGGGAGTGTGCACGGAGCTAGACGCGAAACAAGTTTCACCATGTGTTGACGGGGCGGGGGCTGAATGGAGGCTCGGTGGAAGTTCTTGGTTTTCCACGATCAGGAGTTTACAGGGTGTTATTTCTCTTCTCTCAAAGCATCTCTAACATATTGGATTAAACAAGCTGTCTTCAAGGCAAAGATGATGAGCATAATTAATAGTTATTTTTAAAGTCTCAGTAAAGCCCCTTGTCTCCTTCCCACGTCCTGGGAAAGTGTTGATGCAATCACTAGAAATAAATCCTTTTCCAAATCAAGTAATTTTCTTTCATACCAAACTTTTTTTTTTTTACTTTCGAGAAAAGTAGGGAGCCTAATGGTATAATTCTTTGTTAAAAACCATTGAGGGTATTTTGGATGTAACAAAGGAGTCTTAGGAGCCTACACTGATCTTCAGAAATGTATTTTAGAGTTGCCAAAGAATTGTCTACTCAAACACGCACTAACAAAAATTGTAATGGTGCAAAAACATTTTTCTGGCTGAGCTAACAGCCTTATGATCAGAGAAAAGAGTTTTGTTTTCTCGGTGGGACTGGAAGTTGAACTCAGAGCTTCACGCTTGCAAAGCAGGTACTCTGCTGCCACTCCTCCAGCCCAGAAAACAAATTTTTCTTTTAGTTACACATAACAGAGAGGACGGTCAAACATTACATTAGGGACTGGGGTGTAACGCAGCGTTAGAGTGCTTGCCTATCCCCGGCACTATTTAAAAAAAATCACAAGCTGGGTGCCGGTGGCTCATACCTGTAATCTCAGCTACTCAGGAGGTAGAGATCAGGAGGATTGCAGTTCGAAGCCAGCCTGGGCAAATGGTCCGCAAGACCCTATCTCAAAAAATACAAAAAACAAAAAAACAAAACCCTTCACAAAAAAGGGCTGGCTGAGTTGTAGGCCGAGTTCAAACGAGGTTGAACCTCCCACCTCAGACTCCTCAATAGGTAGGATTACAGGCATGAGCCACCAGCGCCTGCAGCTGTTTTTTTGGTGGCACTGGGTTCAAGCTCAGGGCCTTGCTCTTGCTATGGAGACACCCTGGCACTTGAGCCACTCTGCCAGTCTTCATCTTTTTATGGTGCTAAGGTTCCACCAAGCTCCATCCCCAGCCCCACACGTGTCAAACTTCCCATGTGTGAAGGAGCATGCTAGCTTTCCTGAACTCCTTTCAGGGCTGACGGCCAAAGTGTGGCAGATGGGTGTGCGACTCTCAGCAGTGGGGAGACCGTGGCACTCACTCCACAGCTCCTCTGGTTCTATCCCAACCTTCCCTGTCTGGCTTCCTCACTTAACACGATCCCTCCTAGCTCCTTTCCACCTCCTCTGACTTCTATGCAGGACAACGCAGAGCACAAGGTTTTAAAAATCTAGTTCAGGCTTCGATCACAACCCTCCCGGCCAGCACCATTTCCACGTCAGAATGAGAAGACCATGGCTCAAAGGGGTGACTGCCATAGGTCCCCTGCCAGGGAAGCTATGTCCTCGCTGCTCCTGCAGAGCCACCTCGCCCATTCACACCAATCACTGCCTCTAGCTTAGAATCATTCTGTGGTCTTATCTCACTCACATGCCACTCATTTCCCAAGCCTGGCCAGCTTACAAACACACGAAGCCTAAACACTTGCATCTTATGGAAGGCTGCCCTCTGGTGAGGAGGCTACCTTCTCCTTATTTGGCTCCTGCTGTTTACTTTTCCATATTCAACTTGCCCCAGTCTTTTTTGGCACATAGCAGAAGCCACACGAGGACCACGCTGTAAACATGTGTTTTGTGCAGTGTGCTGCTGCCCATAAGACAATGGGAAGAGCTGGGGGATGTGGCTCAAGTGTAGAAGGCCTCCTAGCAAGCACGAGGCCCCGAGTTCAAACCCCAGTCCCAGACCTTCAGCCATTAGCCAATTAGAATCAAGTGACACTGGTCTGTTCCCGGCCCCTTTTACGTCGAGGCTACTTTAAGCATAATAAATTTTAATTTTTTTGGTGGGACTGGGGTTTGAACTCAGAGCTTCACACCTGCAAGCAGGCGCTCTACTGCGTGAGACACTCCTCCAGTCCTAAGCACAGTAAAATTTCAAAGGCTAAACTTGCATATCAAAGATCCCTGAGCTATCCTGTCATCTGATCATAGACTTGGTGTTTGCTCCTTTAAAAGCTAAGAAGGGGGGTGTGCTATGGTTTTAGTTATTAAATCTCACTGTAGTTAACACTGTTTAGCAGGCACGGTTAACAATGAAACTGAGAAAAATAAACACAAACAGGAACAAATGACCTTTTATTTCATAAGGAGATACAAAGGCAATTGTGTGTAGTCACAATCTGATGGGAGGAAGTAAATTCCCAGTAAATGTCACGATGGCTGCTCAAAGAGAAGGTCAGAGGAGGAGAGACAGACAGAGGCTACAGTGCAAGGAAAGCGCTACTGCACTTGCGGTTGCTGGGGCCTCCGTGCTGTGGCACTGAGTTCTACACAGCCCACAGCACCGTGCTGCCTTGCATTGAACGTGTGCTCAGAGAACTGAAGCTTCTTCCTGGTCGTCTGTCTTGGATCTGGCCTGAGGGAAGGTGTTTGGGACGGGTGTCTTCTTCTAAGGAAACACGCTTGACACACTTGCGTCAGTCCCAGTTTTTGTGGCAATGCATCTTTGTTTAAGACAGAATGTGGCTATGGAACTCAGGCTAGCCTTGTCCTTGTGATCCTCCGGCCTTCACCTCCTGAGTACTGGGATTATAGGTGTGTACCACCATGCCTGGTTAGCATCTTTTTTTTAATCTGAGGGAAATGTTTACTGAAATAATTGTCCTTCTCTGGCACTCCCTATGGCCTGCACCCGTGGACCTGGCTCAGGAGACAGTCCATTGTAGAAAAAAAACACTTGTCCAAGACTTTCATTTGTAAGAGGGACACACCACATAATTGGTTATTAATTAAACAGTTTATTGGCCTTAAATATATACCAGTAAAATTTCGATGTTAGTTAAGTTTTATGATAAAAATAAAAACAAAAACAAACCACTGAACCAAAGTGCCAGAGGAAACCGAGGCTCAGCAGCATGACCGGTCTGATCTCCTGGATAAACACGTTTGTAAAAAGGTGTGACTTTATCCAAGAACAAAGCTTCTAAATTCAATGTTTGGAACTGTTTCTGATTCAGCCTTTAAAACTGGGGACTGGCAAACAGACACAAACGTGGGCAACAGAGAAAGGAGTGAGAATTAGAATTTTTAATCTCAAGTGCGACATGGTTGCCTGGTCATCATTTTACCTATTGAGGGCAGGATTCTCTTTCTGCAATCCTGCAGACAAATCCTAGTGTTTCAGATACACCAAAGTTTTAAGAGTTCAGATATACAGATAAATCAATGTTTAAAAAATCCTTTTCTCAGAGTACTGTAAAGGCTTTTAAAGCATTACATAAATCTTTAAAGCACCTATCACTCACAAGCTAAGAAATAAATCTGTGCTTTAATAAGGCACTCTTAAGACAGACATTCTACGTTAGGGCTCGCCCTTCCTCTGCAGTGGGGATGGAGTCCATCTCTGAGCTGTGACAACGGTGCTCTAAATTCACCTGCCAGCTGAGAGCTATCAGTGGGCTGTCACTCTCTATAAAAACAGCCCAGATATGATGGTAAAGGTTAAAAGCAGTATCTCCTTCTCTAAAACGTCTTCATTTGAACAAAGAACAGTGACTTGACTGACCTCCTGCCCACAGAGGAAAACAGATGAAAGAGAACTAAGACTCCCTACATCCTCTGGTTTTACTGCTAGGAGAGAAATAGCAAGGATTTTGCAAGCTGACACTTTAACTGGACATCGTGGGTGTATGTTATTGTGCTAACAGCTTTCACGTCTCACTAATGGGAATTTATTGCTAAAACAGACACCGAAGCTCACAGCACAGGCTGTAAGAAAAGGGGATCTTGGTGGGGTTTCTGCTCCCCCAAGAGTTAAAAGAAAACAAAGGAACCACAGGGGAGAGGAAGGGTGAATTTCACTACCATAGAAAGGGCCACAAGGGTCCCGTCAGAGCGAAAGGACGTTGGGAGCGAATGGGACCAAGGCACCTTGTGGGCCAGGTCAGAAAGGGTCCCGGAAGGTGGCTGTGGGATTTCTTTCCCTCGTCCTCTGGGCTGCCAGCACGTGACCGATTACTTCCCGTAGAACTTTTTGTTGAGGAGGAAGATCAGGAGGTTGACATTTACTTTAGCTCTGTCAAATAATTTCATGACTGCAACTCCTTCATACTGTAGCTGCAACAAGTCCTGTTCAAAAAGCAAAAAACATGACAGTCAATCAAGTGTGTAGAACGAGAGAAGCAAGGACACCATGTGGGGAGTGACCTGGGAGGGACAAGGTGCCAGGTGCCATGTGTGAGGCGGGAGTCCCAGGACGGGGGCACTGGGGCGTGCTGGCCCGAGGAACGTTCTGCTTAACTTGGCCCTAGGGACGTTTTGTGTAGATTAAAATACACCAACATTGCCTTCCATGTGTGTTCTGTTAAATCAGACATTTTAAACCTCGTTTTAGAAGTTACAATGATAGTTTCCCATTTCATTTAACACACCTGGAAAGGATACCAGGCATTTCAATTCACGCTGAAATACACTCAGCACTGAAAAATAAGGCAAGGAGCAAGGTTGTCTCAATGACCCACTGGATTCTTTTGTTCCCCTGTGGGTGGGCCACTGATCCAGCCCCCAGCCCTACTGCCTTCTTCATTTCTATTTCACACGAGAAAGCGTTTCCATTTTGAAGGCAAAGGAGACAGACTAAACGCTTGTCAGCAGCCTGCTTCGGCCTGGCATTGCTGAAGCGCGTTATAACACACCTTTTCAAGCCCCCACCCAGCCCCGACGGTAAGATAAACTGCAGGCTCAGGTGTTAGGTGGAATGGCCAGCAGAACAGCCAGCTGCTGCTTGCGCTACTTCCCCACAGAGAGTGAGTTTAAGGAACTGGGGAGGTCTCCCTACCTCTAAACCTTAGGGGAGTAGTAACGAGAAAGCAAGGGTTAAAGGGAATTCATCTCCGGGAAAAACCTAGCCGGTGCATGGGGGCAGGCTGCACACCTGGAGTCCTGCATAGTTAATGATCTGGGCAGGCTGGCTGGCTAACACCTCTGGTGGGAAGGAGAGAAGAGGTGGGTCTTTTCTGTGGATGAAAATGTCTCACAAGCTAGGCTAACGTGCTTTTTGAGAGATTTGGTGCTTACCGAAAAGACAGTGACTAAGACACACTGTCAGTCCTAAGGAGGCACAGCCTTGGCAGTAGGAGGGAAGTGAGTCAACCCGTACTGTAAGCAGAGGGTGTCTCCGCAGGCTCCGGAAGCAAAGGCACGCCTGGAGAGGGTTTGGGTTAACGCACCTGCACCTGCGAGTGCCATCACGGAAGGAGGCTCACGGGGGTGTGGAGGGAGGAAGGCCCATGCTGAGAGGGCGGCTGGTGCTCTCCTACAGAAGGCCCTGCCCAGTCTGCCAGCAAAGCAGTGCAGGCAATGTGGGGGCAGAGCGTTTGCCTGTACAAGGGAGCGCCTGGAGTCCACGCCCAGCATAGGAAAAAGCCCCCCAGACAAACAAAAAGCCCCGAAGTGGTGAGGTGGTTTGGACACTGTTCATAATCCTCTCAATGCAGTAGTATCTCTAAATGTGTCAAACTTAGATATTTGAAAATAAAAATTTTGGTATAATTATTACAAAAGGAATCACCGCAGAGTTCTTTTTGGATTAAAAATGGGGATACAAAGATGCAATGGACTCATACTTTGTCAGGAACACATCCAACCCTGAAGTACCTGCAGCAAATCAAAACTCGAGAAAACCAGAGATGTCAAGCTACTGAGCAGACTTCCGGTTTTACCTGGTCAGCACTTCCCTCGAGACCCACTGGAGACCAGGCATCAGCTCAGTTTAGTGGCGGCTCTAAGCAGAGCTTCAGATAAAAGCGCTCTGAAGACTCCCACCTGGGAGGCCGTGAGTCCCCTCCCCGCCCTGAGGACAGCACAGCTCCCCCACTGAGCTCTGGCTCTACTTGGTGCCTACCCACCTGATAATGTAACATGAAAGTCTCCATCTGTACGCCCATGAATTTGGCTTTCACTTCAAAGTCTCCAACTTCCTCTGTTGGACTGATTTCAAAGATAACATTTTTAAACCTGTTGAGACAAAACATCACATGGGCGTGGTTTTTGTTCTCATGTACTGACACTCTGAGGGGAAGGGGCTGCACCATGTCTTCCTGGTGGGAAGGGGCAGGGGGTGCAGCCCCAAGCCCTGCAGGAGAAGCATGGGACAGCCACTCGCCTCAAAGTGGAGCCTGCGGAAAATGCCACATGTGGACTGTGACGGGCACCGTCAGACAATACTTTGGCCTCCACATGGCCACTGCCAAAACTTAATGGGAAGAGGGAAAAGGAAGAAAGTGGTCTGAAGGACAGGAGAGTGAGCGAGCAAGCATAAAGCAAGGGGGTCAGGAAACAGGACCAAGAGGCAGCTTTCTGAAAAAGCAGGTGCTCCGGTGCTGTGCATTTCAGCAGACCAAGTACAGCCAAAGACACCACTCAGTCTCCATAGGTCCCATGCCAGGAGATGTTTGCCCCCAGTGAACAAAGTACTCCACCCTACATTTCCAGAACTCAACTACGGATCTAACCTCCCCCTGGGAACAGATCTGAGAAAGGTGCAAAACAGGCCACTGGGAAGGTAAAAGAAAGCTCACAAAGTTCACCTTAGGGTTAGTTAGTTGTGCAGTAATTCACTTCAAGAGTTTTGGGTGACTATCTGGATTCCAAGCCTAGAGTAGCAAATTAAAAAGGAGAGAGGCAAATGGAGCTGGGCACTTGAAGAGCAGTGGGAAGTAACAAAAATGCCTGTAAAATCCCAGCTACCTAGAGATGGAGATTGGGAAGATCATGGCTCGAGGCCAGCCTTGGCAAAGAGTTAATGAGTCCCCATCTCAACTAATAAGCTGGGCGTAGAGGCTTGCACCTGGCTATGATGCAGGTGTAGTGAGGACCATGGTCCAGGTCTGAAAAGTACCTAAAGCAAAGAGGGCTGGGTCCACAACTCAAGTGGTGGAGCACCTGCCTAGGCACAAGGGCCTGAGTTTAAAACCCCAGTACCAGAAAAAAAAAGGGGCGGGGCGGGGGCGGGAATAATAACCATTATGAGACAGGTTTGAAAAATGTATAAAGTGCTCAAACAAAACCCAGACAGACAAAGGTCTCTACCTGAAAACTGCCCAAAGATAAATATTAAGCCATACTTTAAAAACAGTCCTCACCAAAAAAAAAAAAAAAAAAAAAAAAACCCTAAATATCTCAACAAGAAACCTAAGAAATGAACATTTTTTAAATTTATTTATTATTTTGTGATACTGGGGATTAAACTCAGGGTTTGCAAGATTTTTTTTAATTACTAAATTCAAAACCATTAAAAATTAAGCATCGATGGCAAGGAAGTAGTGAGATACACTTCGACAGGAGAGGTAAGAGTTTTCCATCCACTGTGGAAAACAGTACAGCAGCTCCTCAAAAACTAAAAGTGCAACTCCCACGGGCCCAGCAATCCACAGCAGTAGACACCCAGAGCGTCAGCAGCAGGATCTCAAAGATGCCATCAGCCCTGTTCACAAGAGCCATGAGCTCATCGATGCGTGAACAGGTAAGACAAAATGCACTCCGTACAGATAATGGAATATTATTCAGCCTTAAAAAGGAAGGAAATCCTGTCACATGACGAACTGTGAGGACATTTTGCTAAGCAAAACAAGCCAATACAAAAGACAAGTATCATAGGATTCCACTTGTAGCAGTAACTAATGAGTCAAACTCAAATAGAAAGCAAAACGGTTGCCTGTGGCTGGCAAGAGGGAAAAGTCAGGAATTGCTGTTTCATGGGCACAGAGTTCAGCAAGATGAAAACCTCTGGAGCTCTACCTCACAGCAATGTGAAAACACTGAACACTACTGAACTGGCCCCTCAAAATGCTTAATATATTAGTTTCACATTCTGTATTTTTATAATAAAATAGCTTTTAATACCCTTTGACCACAAATTCAATTTTTAGGCATCTATTATTAAAAAAAAAAAAAGAAAAATCACAGCCCAGTGTGGAGACACATGCCTGTAATGCCAGCACTCAGGAGGCTGAGGCAGGAGGGTCTTGAGGACAGCCTGAGCTACACAGTGAGATGATGTCTCAAAAAACAAAAGCAGCCAGGCACCGGTGACTCGCATCTGTAATCCTAGTAGGCAGAGCTCAGGAGATAGATGAATGAGTGAGTGAGAGAGAGAAAGTAGGAAATAAGCTAAAATGATTTCAGTGGTTAGCTCTGCTTTTTGGGATTTACAGGTGCTTTTTTCTCTCCCCTGGGGCTTGAACTCAGTGACTATACTTGAGCCGCTCCACCAGCCCTTTTTTGTGATGAGTTTTTTCAAGATAGGGTCTTGAGAATGATTTGCCAGGCTGGCTTTGAACCATGATCCTCCTGATCTCCTGGGCAGCTGGGATTACAGGCATGAGGCATGGTGCCCGGCCGCTGGGTGGTTTTTCCAAGATCAAAAATGAATACGTATTTTAGAATCAGAAAAATATAAAAGTTTCTCCTTCTTTGATGGGACTGGGGTTTGAACTCAGGGCTTCACACTTGCAAAGCAGACACTCCACCGCTTGAGCCACTCTGCCAGCCCGTAGAAGTTTCTTCTCAAACAGACACAAGAAAACAGTCAGTGGCAGAAGCCACAGCACTGAGTGATGGCTCAAAGAATGCTTGTGAGTGATGCTGTGGCTCGGGCTGCAGCAGACGTCACCAAGCAAGGTGTTTCCCAGCCCTCGGTGCCTAGTCTCAGGGTGAAGTAAAAGCTTCTTTTGCTATTCTGATTCAGACAAGAAATCAAAGGAATGAAGGAAGAAGGGAGAATGACGATGGACCACGCCCCGCGACAGAGGCTCCACACACAGGGAAAAGCAGCACATGCTCTTTTGTGACAGATACAGTAACTCCGTGCGAGACCTGATTCTGCATGGAAAAATACAGAAATATGTAAAATACAAAAAGTGGCCACCAGGAGAAAGTGGTAAGACAGATGTGAGGGACAGACAAAAGGTGAAGGGTCGGTACTCACTGGTTCACCTGCAGGTCCTCGATCTCCAGGAGAACGCCTTTCTCATGCAGCCTTGCTGCTGTGTACTTCAGTGAAATCTTTTTGCTCTTCTTTCCTTTCATTTCCCTAGGCTTTTTGGAGACCCTGTTTAAAAAAAATCATGTGGTGCCACTTTCTGTAAGTTGCCATGAGTCTGTCTTCGGTAAGTCAGGGAAATGAGGTCAGAAAAGCTGTACATATGCACGAGTAACACATCAATTCTGAACCCATGCTAAACAGGGAAACCACTAACCCAATCTCGCCTCTAGTTTACATTACAGGTGCAAACGCAGCCAGGGTCTCATGGCACCTGAACACTCCTCTCTGTCCTCCTTGGGACTAAGAAGGGCACGAAAGAGCATCCTTGGCCAGCCTGAGGCAACGGTATTGGCTGAGATTCCAACACCACTGCAAGCCCGCAGCTGTGATGGGCGAAGTTATCTTCGGGTAAAGAGGAGCCAACACAGCCAGCGGAGGAAAAGGAGTAAGGAAAGAGAAACAGATGTTAGGAGGCGACAGATGTTCAAGGTGAGAAGGGGTGCAAAGTAAGTGAATGAGGAAAGATGCAGGAGATGCAGGCATCCAGAACTCCCAAAGGAGGCTTCATGAAGCAGGCAGGTTGTCTGTAGGCCTGTGAATGGGGATAGTCCCAGCAATTCCACTTCTAGAAACAGCTTCATGTCAAAGGGGTTGACTAAAGTATCTTATTTATCTATGCTATGGAATACTATGCAGTCATTAAAAGGTAAGGATCTGACTGGGTGCCAGTGGCTCATGCCTGTAACCCTAGCTACTTGGGAGGCTGAGATCAGGAGGATCGAGGTTCAAAGCCAGCAAATAGTTCTTGAGAACCCATCTCCAAAATAACCAAAACAAAATGAACTGGAGGTGTGGCTCGAGTGGCACAGCACCTCTTTGCAAGTATGAAGCCCTGAGTTCAAATCCCGGTCTCATGAATAAAAATGAGGATCTAGCTGTGTGGCTTGGAAGCCAGGAGCCCACCTAGTCACAGGAATGCTCAGAGAAGTAATCCCTCCAGGTTGGGCACAGCAAGTGCACGAAGAATGATTGGGTGGGGGGGCTCAAAAGGCAGGAGCCAGCAGTCAGCCCTTCAAGCTAGCTTGCAGGACCCGATTTCTGTCCCTTCAGTTTCAGTCCTTGTCACTCCAGGGAGTCTTCCAGGGAGGGAGAGAGAAAGAGAGCAAGCAAGCCAGAGAGAGGGGAAGCAGAGCTAGCAAAACATTAAAACCTAGCCAGTCTAGTGAGGGATGTTGGGGGTTTCTCTTCAACATCTCTGAGGTCTGAAATTCTTAATAAAAAGTTGGGAGTGAAAAATAAGCTGGCCTTACAAGTAGAACCTGTACTCATCACCTCATCTCTATGAGTTTCCATTTCCCTCCCCACAATGGACAGGTAGTTTGTGGACAGGACCAGAAAAGCTGTGTCAGACCTTCCTTGGAGTTCTGTGACCCTGTCAAAGAAGCCAAATGTGCATGGTTTCCTTAACAGATCCTGGGAGCACTAGGTCACCTACTTCTGTGCCTCTAATTTCTGGGACCAAGAAGGTATTTTGGAACACGAGGTACTTGGAGCATGCTGAAGTCCCCATCCCCACATGGTCCCCAAGTACAACAGACACATGTGCGTGGAAAAAGACTGTCAAGCAGGCAACTACGGACTTAGAAGCATCAGGGAGAACTGAACAATATCAGATCCAGGGTGTTTTAGGTACAGGCTTCGAGTGCACTTCAGGTGCCTCTATGTCTTTTCCCCACCCCAGTTCTTTCCCTGGATTGACTTCTTAAAAATAATAATAATAAAAACTACTCACTTGCCCTTGCTGGCAAGGTTATCCAAGCAGGTTTTGATGTAGCTTTTGTAGTAATCCACCTGCTCTCCGTAAAAGGTGGCTTTGGAGTTGAGAGCTGCATACGTCTGCTGCAGCTTCACCAGCTCTGCTTTCCTCCTCTGTCGGTACCGCCGCTGATTGCGGATATCCTGAGGCACGATTGTTAAAATTAGGACAACAGTGCCAGTGCCACATGCCTCTCAAATCATCCCTGTGTACTTATCACAGATGCCCAGCAGTGCATAACTGCCCTGAACAGGACTGTGGTCTTAAGGGGCAGCTATCTCCAGACAAGATCACAGAAACTCAGGCCTCACTCCATTTGTATCTTCTACCTTCAGACTGCCTCGTATTTAGGGTTTACATGCAAGGATGGATTCAGCCTTTTAGGTTCGTTGTCCAGGTAGGGAGAAAAAGGACTGTAATACACTGATTATCCAGTTCTTAGTTGTCCATCTGAGTACAGCAACCGAGAGCACCTAACCAGGTGTGGTGGGACACACTTGTAATCCCAGCACTTGGGAAGCTAAGACAGGAGAATCATGAGTTCAAGGCCAGTGTGGGCTACACAGTGAAACCCTGTTTTTAAAAAAAAAACCAGCACAATGCCTAAAACTTTGAGCTCACTTGAGATGACTGGCACAAAACAAGTCGGTCATTTGAACTTTATATTACACAGCAGTTATGAAAAAGACCTGAAGAATTCTTTCAGAAAAATTTAGATGCAGGAAGCCCCAGCTAACATCTTCCGCCCATTCATTTGGGTCATGAAATAAACCACCTCAGGACGGACCAGGATCAGAGCTGGTGTCTGAGAACCTTGGAAACAGCTTTGAACAGACCAGGTCATTACTGTCCCCAATGTGACATACCCTGGCAATGTCGTTAATCAGCTCCTGGTATTTGTTCTTTGGGTCCACAGTTCCGAGCTCTGCTAGCTTCTTCAAGCCTGTCTGGATCTTCTCCTTCTTCTCTTGAAGGCTGAGGTTGCTGTCTTCCTTCAGAGATTTTGACTTTTTCATCTTATCAGGAGTTTTGGCATCACGGATAGCACGTCTCTGCATGGCCCTCTGATGTTCTGCTTCCTGCAGATGAAAAAATAAGTTCCCAGCAAATTCACCATGCTGACCCTAAGCCTGGATTTACATAGCAGATCTGCATTTGAATTCATACGGTTGCCAAATTCCATTCTAGAGACTACGGGAACAACTCTTGCCCCTACTGAATGACAAGAATGTGCACGATGGAGAGGCAGGTCTTTCCATCTGTAAAATTTCATCCACGAAGCCACATGGTTTTCTCAGGATCTCCTGGACTCTAGTACAGCCAGGAGACTTGTGCTACTGCCTATAAAATAAGGGTATTTTCTCGTAGCACATTTTGGGACATGGAAGTCATTACGTTTTATTCAAACCGTGGCTCCGTGAATGTCAGAGCTGCACTCATGCAACTTTGGTGCTCAGTAAACCCTGGTTGATTCTTTTTATCCCTTATTCTGGCTGCGTCATGCTCAAGCCTTCACTCAGCTTTCAAAGGTGCTGCCAATGCCAAGATCCGAACAGGAAAACTGCCCCCTCCTATTATCATTCATTTGTCCCTGATTTCTAATCTTTCATCCCCCTCCCCAATATCCCCTGCCCAGTACTGTGGATGGAACCCAGGGCCTCACACTTGCTAGACAAGTGCTCTGACTCTGAGCTATACCCCCAGTTCCTGTTCCACCTACCTCCCCACCACTTTTTTTTTTTTTTTTTTTTTTTTAAATTTTAAGATGGGGTTTTGCTCAGTCGCCTAGGCAGACTCAAACTTGATATCATCCTGAGTAGCTGGGAACACAGGTGTGCCTGGACTCTCTCCTGCCCTTCTTCAACAGCTTGTCACCTGGCTTCAGCATCGACTGCTCTCATCCCCAATCACTACCCCCCACCCAGATGCAATGTCTCTTCCTTGCTCAGCTCTGCATTCCCTTCTTGCCATGGGCATGGGCTTGGTACTTTCATGGGCTTTTCTGTTACTTTCTTAATACTTCAGACATCACTGCAATGCTGACAGATCCCAAATCTTGGAACTTAAGACTCGATGGCATATTCTGAGTGGTTTGTATTCAGATGTTACACCTGCAATGGCTTGTAGTTCACTTTGTCATTCTTCCCAAACTGGAAAGATTCCCTTCCCCAATGTCCCCCTTCCTTCTTTCTGGTGTCAAGAGGACTCTGCATCACAAGGCAAAGTGCTTAAGCTGCTCCTTCCTCACACACTAACTAGTATCAGAGCGCCTAAAAGCTGAAACCCATTTAAAACAGTTTTCCAATAGTCCTAGAGAGCCAGGCTTCCAGGGGCCCTTCACCTGCTTTGTTGTGTCATTGTCACTTAGTAAAATGGACTCCCGTGCTTAAAATTTGACAGCAAGTGACCTGGCCAGCTTTGACATTCGACAAGTAGTAAAGGAGTCTTAAATGTGAAGTGACCCTCGAACCCTTCCCACCCCTTACCTGGCACCACGTCACACACAGGGACGACTCGGCTTTCACCCGCCCTGACAGCACTACCCAGTGATCCAGTGCTACACAGGCTCAAAGCTCTAGAAGGCTCCATCCCGTATCTCTGCAGTGCAAATCCCTCCCCAGCTTTTGAGTTCCAGACGATCTGGGCTCCTGTTTTCCTCCTCACTAGACCTCCACTACGTTCTCTTTCTAGAAGCACAGCCTGATCACATCACATCCTTCCTCCTTTGTCCCAGAAACCCTCTCCTGTCTCACATGCACACCTAAGTCCCACCCTTCTTTAAGTTTGCCTCAGGTTGCAGGTCTTTTGTGAAGCCTTCCTGATGCAGTGCTCCTTGCTGCCTCTCTCCTGGAACCTCCATCATTTTTATAATTGATCCTATAGTTAGTTTTAATGGTTTATCATTGTTTCAAGTACATATGACTCATTGTCCAAACAGGATCTTAAGTACATTCTGTACTTCTGTATGTCAAGGCATTTAACAGAATCACAACTATAAAATGCTCAATAAATTGCTAGATGAACTCACTGATTCTGCCTCAAATTCTAACACCCCCCCCCACCCCCGCCAAGCCCCTCTCTGTAAGAGCCGGTGAGCTTCCCGTGCTAAGAACATCTTTTGGATTTAGGAACCAACAACCCTCTCAGACAAGCCGAGAGCCACTAGTCCACTGGTTAAATCCAACCTCTTACTTAAGCCATGCCCTCTCCCCCCACCCCACAATGTATCTATGACAGGATTGCTTATCTACCCATGAAGACACGAGTTAAACCCTAACTCTTACCTGTTCACTGGAGGCTGGTGTTTCTAGGATTTCAGTCAGGGTCTCTCCTGGCTGGAACCGGATGACATCCACGATTAAACGCTTTGTGCTGGAATCAGACAAGGAAGCATTTCAATGTTACTGTATGCCAACCTTCCCCTCAAGTGGATGTAAGCACCAGCAGGGCAAACACCATGTGGCAGAGGTCCCAATGGGCAGCTGCTGGCACAGGGGCTGGATGCCCTGAGCTTATTCACTCACTACAACAGAGGAGGTGCCAGGGCTGGGAATTCCACAGCAAAATAAGGTGTAAGTCCTGTGCCAAGTACAAAGCGTGGAGTCCAGAGCTGTGATGGTGTGACCTAGTGAGCTCCCCCGCCTCACTCTCCACTCAATGCTCACTTCAGTAAGATGGTCCGGGCATCCATCTCTGCGTTTTCATCTCCAGGCACATCAAACTTGTTGGTGAGTGTGAGAGAGACCTCTGTCTTGGCCAGCGCCTCTTTACTTGGGTCATTGAAGTTGCCACTGCTTTCCCCTGTAGTTTGGGATAGAGTCAATGTATGAAAAGGGGGAGCTACTGGAGGGAAATAATACAAATAAAAGATGCAAGTCTAAGATTACTCTTGAATAAGTCAGCACATAATGCAGCAAGAACATCTTCCAGTGAGAAATATAAATGTGCCAAATGAGGAAGGCAAAGGATTCAAAATAAGATAATTTCATAAAAAATTTTGGGATACCATAGCTGTACGGGGGTACACTGTGACAGTTACATGTGCTTACAATGTATCTTACTTAGAGTCACCCCTCCATCTTTCTCCTTTGTCCCCCTTCATAAACGTTTGACAGTCATTTTAACAATGTAACATCACAATTCTCCCTCCAAACACCCTTTCCTTCAAGGACTCTTGTGTTTTGTATTTAAAATGATCCCTTTTTTGGGCTTCAGCCCTTCATCTGCTTGGTTTTGCAATGTATCAGAATCTGGTGCAGAAACAGAGAAGGTGAAAGTTGCCGCTCTCAGCACCAGGCAGTGAAATGAGAATATTACCTATCAACGACTCGATGGTGGGCACCTCGCCAAGGTCGTCCAGCAGCTCATGGATTGGATCATTGTGCTCTGGAGCAATGGCGTCCTGGTGGTCCAACAGGAGCTGCAGAAACCCGCCATTAATCCAGTTTTCACACTCAACCCGGAGTCCCTGTCCCAACCCACAATGCCCGACAAAGGTCGGTGGGGTGGCAAAGCTCCTGTGTTCAAAGAACTGCAGACCCATCCTCAAAAACTCACTCAACCACACATGACACAGTCAGAGCCTCACCGGCTCTGTGGAACAGGGGAGGTTATGACATATGTCACGGCCATAAAGGATTCAAATGTACCCTGAGTAAGAAAGAACCATGGAGCACATAGACTTCAGTATCTACATACACCCTGCATTGCTAGTTCAAACACACTTAGGCTTTTAGTGAATATTCCAGTGTATTTTGTGCCATATCTTTTTTTTTTTTTTTCCTTGAGATAACCTCACTACACAGCCCAGGTTGGCCTTGAACTCATGATCATCAAATTCTCCACCTCCTGAGTGCTGGGATTACAGGCATGTACCACTGTACAACATCTTTTGTTTTGGTTTGGATTTTTGCAGTGCTGGGGACCGAACTTGGCCAGTATACAGCCTCTTTTATTTAGAGAAAAGCATACCAGATTAGTATCATTATCTCAGTGGTACTACATAAAGCCTTCAAGATGCTGTCCTCCCAAGTGCTGTCCTCAAAAACAACAGCATCTGGAATTTCATTTACATTTTACATATGTCCTCATGTCTCCAAAGCAAGAAATTGTTTGAAAAGAAATTGTTGAAAAAATCTATAGAAACAGGGAGCTCCCAAGAGAAAATTTTCTCTAGGACTAGAGAGAGGAGGAAGTTAGTGTTCTGGATTGTGTCGAAGAACACGCAGAGGGCTGGGTAAGGAGGGACAGAGAACACATTATTTTATCAAGCTGCTAGGTGAGGGCTTAGGATGCACATTTTGGCGCTCTCCCCAGGGATTCTGACTCAATACACCTGCGGTGCAGTCAGGAAACCTCATTTTACCATCAGTCCAGATGGGCCTGACGCAGGTGGCCTGGTGATAATTTGCAGAAACTTAGCACATAGCTGAAAAGAAGAGGGAGGGCTGGGCCGGGGCGGCAGCGGTGGCAGAGCACTTGTCTGGGGCACAGGCCCCAGGTTGGATCCCCAGGATCACACAGACACACACCCCAAACAAAAGCAAAGGAAGAGAGATAACAAGAAGTTTTGGTGTCATGAAGATCAGAGGAAATCGAGATACCAGTAAGCAGAACAACAAAATTAAGTAATTAAAGCAAAGTACTCACAGTGTGGGTGTTGATGATTTCACCAATGGAAATGTAGATCACTGGCTTGGTGAGGGTCACCAGATCAGAATACTCATCCACGTTGAATTTATCCTGGAGCTCTGGCACATCACATGCAGTTTGGAAAAACCGTCTGCAGGAAAGCACGACCCCCCAGTGAGTGACACGGATGTGAGAGGCTGGCAGTGGACATCCAATGAGCCTTTCAAGCAAAGTCAGCCAGGAGCGTGAACTCCAGGGAACTGCTACCTGACAGCCCTGGGCTATTGGTTCTCTAACTTCTTTCCCCATCTAATTTTAGTTCTGCCTACAAGAACCACTCGAGCACAATTTAAGACAGTTCTCAGATACCTGTGCCATTTACCCCGAAGACTGCTCTGAGGCACTGAATTCAAGCCTAATGCTAGCTTACGAATATTGCAGGACTTCCAATTCTTCTCTGAACGCAAAGTAGCGTGGGCCTAGTGCATAACCACAGTTTTTTACATTAAGCACTGCCTATCTCTTACAAAAACTCTCCAGAATGCACCAACTTCTGGAGTGCTGCGCACATCAAACACAAATCCTGCGAAAGGACAGCCTGGGGAGAGCTGGGGCTTAATCTTGCCTTTCCTTCAGAGATAAAAGCGCAGCCCTGTACCTGAATTTCTGGTAGGACTGGGAGAGGTACTCGTTGATGACGCCCAGGTGGGCGTTATCGCCCAGGAACATCTTATTGGAGGCTGCATGCTGCAGCATCTTCGCAATGGAGCCCAGGTTGCGCCGCTGGTCTGTTGTGAGCTGGCCGCCTGCTGACAGATCGATGATGTCGAAGGCGTCTGGAGCAACAATGGCTGGGTTCATGTACCGGTAATACAGCAAGTTACCGATGATCTGAAACAGACATGTGGGAGTTAAAAAGTCGCACCGATGGGTGAGGCACGGAGGACTGTGCTAGCAAAGAAAACGAGAAAGCGCAGCCCTGTGAGGAAAAATGCACACACACACACACACACACACACACACACACACACGCATGCATGCATGCATGCATATACACTTTCTGGCAAGGCCTACAACTAAAATAAACATTTCTTTTGTTGCGAGAGTGGGAAAAAGGAGAACTGAACGTCACTACCAGGGATCGATGAAAGAGCAGACTGAGAAAGTAAAAATAAGCATTCAGGGGTATCTTTTGTCCACACGTCATGGCAGCCGATGACACGGGCACACTGTCTGCTTTCACAGGCACCAGCTATGATCACAGCTAAAATAGGTTCTTAAGGACTCAGCACACAACCTATTTGGTTTAATCTGTCAACCCCCACCATCCTCATGCTGCAGGCTCCAAAAGCCAAGTTCATGCCTCCGAAATGAAATTCACTCAACACACATTTCTTCCACAGAAGAATTCAAGGACAGTCACAGCATTTCCCCTAGAGTTTCATTCAGAAAAAAATAAAATTAATTCACCTGCACAGAAAGTCTAGAATCGAGGCCTCACTGTAGGAAAGCACAGAACTAGGAGAGAGAAGAAAAAAGCATTCAGATTAAAAAAAGAAGAAAAAACAAAAAAGAAAGGAGCATAGTTGAGTGAGAAAGTTACCAGCAAGCTTTAGCAGAAACTGTGACTGCTACTACCACCTGGCCACCAGCAGAGGGAGCAATTCCTCAGCAAAAAGAAACAAGAAAAACCACCTTCTCTACTTTGATGTATATTGTGTGCTGCTCAGACCTGAATGGGGAAGCTCTCATTTACTCTACAATTGCTTTCGAAGCTGGGGACAATGGTGAGTTACCGCAGCCAGGATCTACGCAGAGGCACTGACTAGTGGTCACTGTCAGGTTTAAGTTTACCGCTCTTCCCTGCAGACTCTCACCTTCAGCAGCTCGTCCTCACCAGCATCGGGGAACTTCTCGTGCAGGGAGTCCTTCAGCACCTTGGCAATGAAGCGCATCCCGTAACTGAGAGATGGAGAGAACTCAGTGAGAAGGGCTAGGGGCAGATGAGCACCAGGGCTGGGCTCCCTCGGCTCCCTCGGCTGCGGGGACTCACGGGATTTTATCCACAGAGCTGACAATGGCTGACAGGAACTTGTCTGTCACAGTCCGCATGTTCCTGATGGAGTTGTCCAGCCGCGTCTTCACTTCTTCATGAGCCAGAGCCTGCTCAGGGGTCACATCGTAGGGCAGTTTGCTGGAGAGAAATCACCCCCAACCATGTTAGAATGACAGCCAGGGACAGCAGCAAACTCTCAGGTTAGGTAACTTCAGCTCACGCACACAGGCATACTGACAAAGTAGGGGTTTAATGCTCAACTCGGGTTTTCACAGCTTTTAACAGAATCAAATGCCTGCACTGCGTGCCAGGCACTATGACAAGCACTTCGGAATAAAAGGTGGGTAAGACAACTTCTTGTAAATCTCGCACAGTCTAAGGGAGACACACAAGCAGGTATTTGTGAACGTCGCATATGGGCTGGGTGTAGCTTGGTGGTAGAGTGTTTGTCCAGCATGCACAGGCACTGAGTTCCAGCCCCAGCACTGGGGAAAAATGCTATTAATAAGAAGTTGGTCAAAAGTGCTGCAGGACTACATGGAGGGGGCTTCTGCTCAGACCGAAGGAAGCAAGGAGGCTTCCCAAGGGAAGAGACACCTCAATTTGGGAAAAAAGGAGAGACCTTCTTGGTGGGGAATCATATACAAAGACAGGGAAGAGGGAAGAGAAATGAGAGTGGAAAGAGTAACAGACCCCCAGCCACGGAGGAGCCCGTAAGCTCAGGCTCACCTCACGTGGCATTATTCCTTATAGAAGCCAGAGGGGCCATGGAAGCTACGAGATCTGTATTCTAAGGAAGATTTCTCTGGCTCCCATGAGAATGAATTACAGATGGACAGACAGAGATGAAAGAGGCAGGAGACCAGGACCCTGGCCTGGTCAGGAAATGACAACAGACATAGATGCAGCAGTGGGGATGAAGAGAAGACCTGATAAACACTGAAGAGACACAACAGTCAAAGGACTCAGTGGCCCTTCTCTTGGTGAGAGAGGAGACATACACAGGAATGGAAGCCGCAGGCTGACCAGGTCACTCAAGGAGGGCACGAGTTAGCGTTAGCAGAGGAAACTGGCATTAAAATAGCAGGTTTGCTAAGACAAAGATGAATGAACTACAAGGGCAGGATTCTAGCACTTTCCCCGAGATCCAAAAGCAGTGATGTCATCTCAGACTTTCCAGAAGGGCACTGAATTCAAACCAAGCCGCCTAATGAGAGAGGTGTGGAGGGAGATTTGGTATACCCAGAAAAGGAAGGTGATGTGCCCAGGGGACAGAACCTGCAGCCATATGACCACAAGTCAAGGGACACCAACAGTCACCAGAAGCTGGAAGAAGCAAGGAACAGGTTTTAGCCAGCAGTAATGGTTGCAGATTTCTGGCCTCTAGAACCACAAGAGAATAAATGTCTCCTGTTTTAAGCTGCCAAGGATGTGAGGATTCATTGTAGCAGCTGCAGGAAAGCAATACAAACAGTAGGCATTTGACTCCATCCTCCATAGTGCCTGAGTCACACCCACAGATAGACGCAGCAAGAAAACAAAACAAGGCAAAACACTCTGCAAAAACAGTAAGGTCTTTGGAGTTTACATTAAAGAGCATGCATACTTTATAAGTTAGATACGATGTATCTTTTATATCCCCAAAATGTACAATAACCTATGTGTAAATATTTATAAAGTAGGGCTGCAGGTTCACCTGCTATGTACAGCAAGGCCCTGGTTTCAATCCCCAGCGCTGCAAAAAAGATTACAATAAAATTTTTTTAAGTTCAAGAAAAAGTAACGAACACAGGAAATAAAAGTACTCAAAGCAATGGTCGCAGTTAAAGAAAAGAATATTGAACTTGCCAAGATTTTAGATGTGACCATTCTTCCCAACAGGGGGCATGGCCCCAGTCTGCTATGTTGGGAGGCTGGAGTCACAGAAGCAAGCCCCAGATCTGGGATGTCACCCACAGGACAGCTTCCCACCACCCACACACATTGGAGGTATTGAAATTCACTTCCATTTATGAAAAGCCTAAGAGGCACCAGTTTCTTACAGATGCCTGCAAGAGGAAAAACTCCTGACACTGCCAGTGCAATTTTTACCTGAAAATGACTGATTCATGGCCCATTAAAGGAAATAAACAGCTTGCTTAGGGACATCCTGGTTGTGGGTGAGGCTGGGATGTGGCTCAGTAGTAGAGTGAGCACCTAATATGTCTGACGCCCTGGGTCCCATCCCCAGCAGAGAAAAAAAGAAAGAGTATTGATTCCCAGACAATCTTCATCTCACTCAGCAATGACCAGAATCCTGGAGCAGATTTGTAGGGGACTGAGAACCGGTCAGGTACCAAGTATTCTGAGGAGGGCACAGCCCTTTCCAGGAGTCAGTGTACTTCTTCCTCTAGCCAGGCACACCTTCCCCTGAGCATGGTGTCCAAGCACAGAGAGAGCAGAACGATGTGGAGATGTTACTCAGAGTGTGACGGTGCCAGGCTACACTACTGCGGAAGACACAAGGCAATGGTACCATGATGCAGTCAATGCACTGTCCCTCATCGAGAGAACTTTGCATAACAGCCGTCAGCTGAAGTACACAGTGTGCTCAGTGACACAGATGAATTTCTGTTTTTGGCCTGCAAACCACACTTTGAATAGCAACGGTGTGGAAAGCTGCACCCCACCCTTGCCCCTCCAGGCAGCCTTCTGCACCACCTCACTTTATTCCACAACAGTTTTCGAAAAGGCCAGAGATCCCGCTCACATCTGCACTCCTTGCCTTGGTTCTCTAAACTCTATCTGCTCAACGTTACTAGAATTTGGCTGATAAAACTTTCTCCCATGGATATGTTAATGTTGGTGGCCTGTAGCCCTCAGTGTTCCAGAGCAGCTCGCCACTCAGCCCACACCACCTTCTCCCCTTCACTGAACACCATATGTCATTCAATCTGTATGAGCCTCCCCATTCAACTGCATCTGTAGCTATGCCAGGGTCCTTTCAGGTCCTAGTCCCTCTGCACCAAGCTCTGGCAAGGCTGGCCCCACCTCACCCTTCTGGCTTCAGCCAAATGAAGCTGAAGCTTCCTGTCCTCAGATAGATTTTCCCTAGCCATGCTGTTATATCAGCTCCTTCTTCAGGTATATTACCCTACAAAAAGCTTCATAAACATTCCTGCATTTGTCATTATTTTTATATACCTGTTGGTTGTCTCTTCCCCCCCCAATAAACCAGGCAGAGAGAGCAGGGAACATGCCTATTTCACACAATGTGATATGCTTTACCGCATGTGTATCTAACACAGTGCCTGGCACTAAGTACACAATAAATATTTGCTAAGTAAGTGAACTTGTTACCTGCTCAACAATTTAAAGATCAGCTCTGTACTTGAATAATGAGTGCTTTGTAAATCAACAGTAACTGCGTTTGTAAGAAGACAGAAAATAATAAAAACATGAAAGAAAAGGTGAGTAGCACTCTACCTGGCCTCCCCCGTCTGAGACTCCATCTGGTTAACCCATGACTTGTAAATATCCACAGGGTCAGTCTTGATGTTGAGTGACTTGTCATCCATGATCTCCTTCACCACAGGGGCCAGCATCTGTCTCAGGGCATTCTGACCCCGTGCTCCACGGTTGAAACTTACAACCATCTTAATGACTGTAGGGTTTCCTGTCACGATCTCTTGAATCTGATCCACCTTTGACCTGGGCAACATCAAATACAAATTCAATGTAAACTAATCTCAGAATCCATCAACATACAGATCCCGCCTGCTCAGAGCTCTTTGACTCTCTCTCTAGAAGCAATCCCCACACTCTCAGACTCTCCCTGAAGCTGCACCCTCAGTCATGGTGGTCATGTTAGAACCTTTATGTTTGACCAACTTTTCTTGAAATTAGATCTTAATACAAGAAAAGAGTCTTGCCATGTAGCCAAGGTTGGCATTGAACTTGTGATCCTCCTGCCTCTGCCTCCCAGGTGCTAGGAATACAGGTATGTACCACTATGCCTGGCTGAAATTTATTCAGCAAATATCATTCTTTCTCATCCCCAGAAACAGAAGCAACACTTTGTTCTTGAGACAGGGCCTGGATCTTAAGCTCTGAACCTCCATGATGGAGGAGGGCTGTGGTCTGCAGAAATGTGCCATACTTGATCTCCTCCTGGAGTGCTGTCTTAAAGAGCCGCAGGAGCAAGTACTCCTCTCGCTGGTTGGACGCATAGTTGTACAGTGTGAAGATCACAGAGTCCATGAACTTGGTGGATTTGTTCTGGGGCATCTGAAAAATCAGCTTGGCCAGGTAGGTGGGATTGGTCTGAAATAAAACCAAGGACAGGTCATTCTAGATAATATGATAAAGTACACGAGAAAAACAAATAGCACTTCATGCATCCTTCAGCAGAAAGCAGAAGTCCTTCCAGAGAACTGTGTGGAAGAGTAAACTGAGTAATCTTAGACCCCAGCCTGGAGCTGCTTACCTGCAGCAGGTAGAACAGGTGCTGGTAGGCCTCCAGCTTCTCCCGCTTCTCCTTGCTCAGGGCCTTGAGGCCCCCCTTCTGCTTGTTTATCATCATCATGTCAGACAGCTGCTCCTTGTTCTTTTTGGTAAGCTTCTTACTGTGGGAAACCACATCCTACAAACAAAAACCAGCACAAAGATCGGCAAGTTTTCAAAGAGGAATCTATAGCACTGTGAAAATGTCTTTAGCACCGCAAAAAGGCCTATCCCTACCTTGCTGGCATAGCCCACTGAACATGTCAGGACCACTAAAGACCCTATTTTCATACAGCAGTCAACTCTGTTCCTACATCCACCGCCCCATAAAGAAACTAAGCCAGGGATGGTGCAGTGGCTCAGAGGTAAAGCACTTGTCTAGCAATCAGGAGGCCCTGAGTTCAAACCCCAGTACTGCCAAAACAAGAACCTGAGCCATGGGTTTCTTCATGTGGGCATGGGAAAAAAAGGTACACGAATCACGAAATCTATTTGTAGGACTCTACCTTTAAAAACATTTTTTTTTTTTGCAGGGGGCGGAGAGAGGGTCTCGCTCTATAGCCTAGGCTGGACTTGAACTCATGATCTTCTCCTTCAGGCACCCAAGTGCTGGGATTATAGGTGTGTACCTTCATGCCCAGCTCCAAGAACATAAGGAACGGGATGTAGCTTAGAGGAGCATTGCTTAACATGCCCAAGGCCCTGGGTTCAATCCCCAACACTGTGGAACATTTCTGTATAGTCCCAGCTACTTGGAAGGATGAGAACACTTCAGCCCAGTATTTTGAGGTCAGCCTGGGGCACATAGTGAGATCCCATCTTGAAAAACACATACTTCACCTTTGTTTTTTTTGGCAGTACTGGGGTTTGAGGAACACAAATACACTAAGTACAACAAAAGCATCATATATTTAAACATCAACTGCACTGCAACTTATAATAAAAACCTAGAAATCCACGGAAGTGTCAAAGAATGGAAGAAAATAGGGTGAACCCTATCCCATCTTCTAGTGACCACTTACAGCCACTCACCACATGGAAAATCTCATCTTCTGATGTTAAGTAAACATAGATTACAAAGTCCAAAGTGATCGTGGGTTAGGAATTAGAGGAGGATTTTTATCTTCTAAACTTTGGTCTAATATAATTTAATGGAAATTTATGGCATCAGCTGAGAAGGAGGTCAGCCTTCACCGTCCCGGGAGTTAGAAGGGGAAACAGGGTTGGTGAAGCAGTGCACAGGGCCTGCCTGCTGACCCCGGCCGCACCTGCAGTGTGATTTTATTTTTCACAAGCAGTCCAATTTTGATGTCCATGAGGTTGAGGTCATTCTCCAGCTGCTGGTTGGAACGAATGAGGGTGATGACTTCTTCCCGCATCTTCATGAGATCAAGTTCCTCCTGAAAGTCCTGGTCACTCTGGTCCAGGAGGTGGACAAACTTTCGGACCACAATCATAGGAGGATCATCAGCACTGACTGACAGAAAGGACACATGCATCAAAGAACTAAGTACCAGACAAAGCTCATGTCCCGTGAAGCACCAGCAGTGCCTTGAAAAAGTCGCTCTAGTCACTCACAAGACAAGTGTGTGAGACGTGCTGAGATAGCCATCAAGTGTAATCCCTCGTTATCTACTGCTATGTTATGACAAAGGCAAACACGCAAGCAAGATTCTAGCCGTGCTAGCCAAGGGCTTAAATCAAGAGGCACCCCTTCCCTCCAGGCCTTGCCTTCAGGACAACCAAAGGTCCGTGGAGAGCACCAGGACACAGCGCTCCCAAGTGCTGCCTCGACAGTTCCCTGCTGGGCCACAGTTACTCACTCAGAGTCTTGTAGTCATCGCGAGCTTTGTTCGCCCGAATAAAAGCCTGGATTTTGATAATGTCATTGATCTAAGGAACAAAGATGAAATATGTCTGCTCACTCGTCCACCAGACATGCAGCAGAAGCAGTTCCACTGGCCCTCCCCGTGTCACCCAGTACTTACATGGTCTCGGAAATACTGCAGGCGATCTCTGTAGCGCTTTCTAGCTTGGTGCATCCTTGCCAGGGACTGGATCTGAGGAAAGGGGATCCTGGACTTAGAAGGGCCCTTCATGTCGGCACTGCCTATTTGCACCCCACGAGAAGACACCCTGCTCGGGTACTGTACCTTCACAACCTCGTCCTTGTGGGAGCGCAGGTAAGCCAAGCGGTCTTGATATGCCTTCTTCTGCTTGTACCCCCTCCACTGTGACTGCAGGGTCAAGTATCACAGGTGATACATTATTTTCCAAGAAGCAGTGCAAGGTAAAGAAAAGCTCAACTTCCCGATGGAGCGTCAGAAAGGAGCACATCTAACAGGGATGGTGGGGTGAAGGCATGGGCCATACTTCCACCTGGAGAACACAATGGCCACATTCCACTTCCCGGATGTTAGCACAGCTCTTCATACCTTTTAAAGTACGGCCACACAGATTTGCTTATTGGTTTGCAGATAAGGAAGACAAATCAGGCATGGAAGACAGCATTAGTACTCCCATTTTACAGATGAGGAAACAAATGTAGAGAGACTCAGTGTCAAGCAGTAGGCGACATCATTCCTAACTCAGAATTCTTTCCATGACACTGCTACCCTGTCATCGAAGCAAACCCCACTATTTCTCTTGAGATTCAAATCTTACCAAAGGCACAATGGCAGAAGAGAAGACAAGGAGGTGCCCAGCCCTGGCCCAGCCCTGGGGCACATTGGGCACTATGATTGCATTGGTACAAGGAGGAGCTGCTGAAGGAGGATGAGAAAGAGAGGCCAGAAGTTAAGAGACACACACACAGCCAGTCAGGAGGGTGGACGGTCTACTCCCCCTGCTCGAGGAAGCCTGCTCGCTCTGTGTCTAACGGGCTGTGGAATACCTGAATGCAGGTGATGGCAGGGACTTGCTTCTTCAGGAAGTTCATCCTGGATCGGAATTCCTGTCGAACCAAGTACCCTCGGCAGCAAGCCTGCAGCTTGGTGATCAAGCCTTCGTTGGCCAGCCAAAGCTGTTCTCGGTTATACGCAGCAGTCACCCCAGAGATGGAACTCTGCAAAAGCAATCGGTCAGATTCAAGAATGTTCACGGATCATCCACAGAGCCCAAACTAACCTCCACTGCCTCCTAAGTCTGTGCTACATCTTCAGCTAAGCAACAGGAGTGAGGACCCCAGCTGTGTCGTCATGGCAATGTCGATGTTCCTTTATCTCCCATCCACCCATCCTGCCGACTGTGCGTGCTGTGCCAGCCAAGCGCCTAAGACGCCTAAGACGCCTAGAAAACTCCTTGTACCCACAGACTGCAAATCGTTTTGAAAAGCAGACTGGAGGGCTGGGACTGTTACTGAGAATAATGGAGAACTGGAAAATTTTCAAACAGAGAAATAAAACAATCCTGCTTATGTTTAGAAAAACAGCTTTGTGAGCAGAGCACCTAGCAGACTGGAGCAGAGTTCTGCTGCAAGTCCGTGAATTAGAATGCTACTGTCCCAATCCAAGCATGGACCTGGGCTTGAATGCAGGCAGCAGCAGCGAGCATGGGTAAGGAAAGCACCGGATCACCACCAGCGAGGCTGCTCCTTTTCCTTGGTGTTGGAGCCTTGCTATTTTCCCCTTCTGGGCACCAGCACCTGCACTGAGACTGTTTCTTCTCTGAGCAGATACTGTTTGGTAAGACCTTTGGGAAAGCTCCTTGAGTTAGACAGTACACAGCATGTCTTCTGCGTACTTTTCTGTTGCTTTTCTTCTTTTCCCTACTTCCTGCCTGGACTACTAACCCAAAGGACAGAGTTCCACATTGTCATTGGGGATGACAAGGTGACCTTGAGAATGGAAGCCATGTGTTAAGAAAAGCAGAGCATGAAGACAGAAGACTCCTGGAGCAGGTGATACTGTGCAGCCACCACCCCCCTTCCCTGAACTACTGTGCTCCAGAATTATTTTATATGGGAGAGAAAACAAAGCAAGAAAGTCTTATACAGTGGCCTCTTTTTTTTGTTTTTTTTTTTCCCTGTCTAGCTGTGTTTGAGGAATCTGCTGGACTTCTAAACTGCAAATGGAAGGACATAGCTGGCAGTGACGAAAAGGGATGAGGTCTGTAGGTGCTGATTTTTGAGTCACAAGCACAAAGGTGGGAGCTCAGGAAGAGAACAGGGAGGGGAAGGGAGGGGAGGAGAGAGGAGAAGGGGGGAGGGGAGAGGAGAGGAAGGGAGGGGAGGGAAGGGAACCAAAATAAGCCTCATGTAATTAAAGCAGAGAAAAGGAAGGCAGCGAGAGTTACTGAGAAAGGACATTATAGCTGGCACCAGAGGCTCACACCTGTAATCCTAGCTATTACAGGACAGCTATCTCAGGAGGCAGAGATCAGGAGGACTGCAGTTTGAAGGCAGCCTGGGCAAATAGTTTGGGAAACCCTATCTCGAAAATACCCAACACACAAAAAAAAGAGCTGGCAGAGTGGCCTAAATGGCAAGAGCACCTGCCTAGCAAGCATGAGGCCCTGAGTTCAAACCCCAGTGCTGCCAAAAAAGAAAAGCTTATTGGTGAATTTTAAAAAGAGAGCTTTACTAAAGTAAATGCAAGATGAGAAACCATGCTGCCATGAGCTAAGAAATGAATGTGACAGGGAAGGAATTACTGAGCACACATGGACTTTCAGGGTAGTCGGGTACGGAAATTCGGTGGGCTTTAATTTTTTAAGAGAAGGGAGACATGATTAGATACGTAGGCTGAAACTGAAAAGAAAAGTATAGCTGTCAGGCCAGCAGCGCTGCCTGGAAACATGTGAGGAAAACAGGTTCTCAGGCCCACCAGAGCTGAACGTTCCCTTCACAAGATCCCCAGGTGATTTGTGAGCACATCAAATTCAGACAAACACTGGTCTAAGTGATGGAGTGGAATGATGGAAATAGAAGAAGAGACAAGGCCTCCAAGGAGTTAGGGAGAATGGCACCAGGCGGTAAGGTGAGCAATGAGCTTTGGGAAGGAGCTTTTCCTTCCAGAGAGAAAATAAGAAGGATCAAGTGAAGAATCCAGAAGATGAAATGTGCAGAGAGGAGAGTGGGAGGACCCACACTTGATCCCTCTATTCTTCCGGGGGAGGGAGGAGGAAGGTCATGTGCTGAAAGTAAAATAACACGGCTCCACTGTTCAAATTCTTATGTCCATATGCAAAACATCATCTAAACATGAGGGTGTCTTTGGAGATTAGTGAGATTCTCAAAGGTACACCTGACCCAATAGTTAAAAAATCACTCTGCTAGCCGGGTGCCAGTGGCTCACACCTGTAACCCTAGCTACTCAGGAGGCAGAAACAGGAGCAAAGCGGTTTGAAGCCAGCCTGGGAAAACAGTTCTTCAGATCCTATCTCAGGATGATAATAATAATAATAATAACGAAAAACCCTAACAAAAAAGGGCTGGTAGTGTGGCTCAAGGTGTAGGCCCTGAGTTCAAACCCCAGTACTGAAAACAAACAAAAAGTCACTCTGCCACAAGAGGCAGCCTACATCCCTCTGCACAGCACAGCACAGCATAGCAGGCTCTCTCTGTTGTCTCTCCTGCCGCACCTGCCATGGCAGCCAACAGCACTTTCACCTTTCCTTAAATGGTCCCTATCCTTCCAGTCCTCAGTGCTTCCCCACTGTGCCTTCTGTCTAGAACAGCTGTCCCCATTCCCTCGCCTGCTGACGTCCCTTAACTCTTTCTTTACTCACTAGAGCCCCACTCCTGCCTGCTGCTCTCACAACAGTGTGACCAACTGGACAGGAGACTCACTACATTACTCAATTATCTTTAGTAAGCACACAGTTTATCTCACTTAATTCTGCAATTCAAATTACTAATTTAGGCTTAATCATTCCCCAAACCACTAAAAAAAGAAAAAATTATACCAAAACAATTCACTATGTAGCTTGAATTCGAGTCTGGGACCTCTGACCGCACACTCCACTCTGTTCCTCTTAACTAAAATCATCCTGAACCCTTTCTCTCAGATCCTTCTCAGGTGTGGAACGGTGACCTACCTGGATCTCCTCCCGAGAAAGCTCCTGAGAATTCTGCACGAAGTCTGGAGGTTCATCCCATCCTCCTTCCTGGGTCTCCAGATTGTGGTAATAGTAATATCCACCCTTCACCCAGTGCTTCACCCACTTGCTGTTGTTATCTCCTGTCAGAAAGTAAAGGAAAGATAAAGGCAACCCAAGCTATGCTCCACTGTCTATATCTAACACTACAGGATTATACTAGTTACATTCAACAACCCAAATGAAGACCATTCCCAGCAGCTGTTCCCTGAATCTTTGAGTAAAGGAACATTCTAAGTCCCCATTAAACTGCAGCTCTGTAATGTCTAACCTAGCTCATTTGTGTCTACATTAAAGGAAAATTCCTAGGGAGTCCAGTTATGGAATCAACCATGACTAGCTTTGTCTCTCCCCAAGACTTTGTCTAAGACTCGCACTTCATTAAACTATTCTGATAAAAGATTTGCAATCATTCAGCATCTCCAGGCATCTGAGGCAGGGAGTGGGGGAGCAAAAAAATTCCCTCTGCTACTAACTATTTCCTCTACTACTTACTACTAGCTGCCTATAGACTTAGATGATCAAAGCTATCGACACCCGAGGTAAGGTAAACATTCTCATGAAGTCAATCGAGTTAACATAGTTGTCTACAGGGACCACTATCAAAACTTGGCGTATTATCTCCTTTGAAGTGAGATAAGTGTACACTAGTGAGATTATCTTTCCCACAGCTGGTGCCTTTGCTCTAGAGACACCTGTCCCTTTATCTGCTCACATGCTTATTTCAGGCACATATTATTTTCTCCCATAACTCACCTGCTGCCAGTTTTTTCTTCTTGGCTTCAGCAAGGTCACTCTGGTAAGTTTCACCACACTCAGGGATGACTCCATACAAGCCGACATCCGGGGAACGAAGGGCACTCAGTGTTCTGCCAACATCACCACTCTCTACTGCCTCATTAATGGCAAAGATTCCTAAAGCAACTACCCCAGAAAGGAAATTGTTAACGTAACAGTTTAGAAAGTGTCTAAATTCACATACTACTCCACCTAACCCACTTACTGTCCACTACTTCCTCTGATCTCTCAGTCTTGGTTGAGACATGGAATACCTCACCATCTCAACTGCCACCAAAACAGAAATTAAACAATTCATACATACACTTCTCTGCTTCTTGCGTGTCTTTGTTGGACTGCCAGATTCCACCTTGAATTTCATCCAACCATAACACAGCTGACTCATCCTGGGTTTCCTACATAGTGTTAAAAGCAAAACAAGAGTAGAGTCATGAGATCAGGGACCATGTAACATACGTGTGATAAAAGGGCTTGTGAGGCTCAATGAGATGGAGGAAGACTCTCCAACATATGAGCTCCAAACATAACAGACACAAGGATTAGTTGGATGGAAAAAGCCAGACATCAAAAAACTAGTAAAAACTTATAAGGGAAAAGCTTAGAGTAGTGGTTCAAGTCCACAGTTCTAGCTACATGGGAGCCAGAGATTGGAAGGATCACAGTTTGAAGCCAGCTCAGGCAAGAAGTTGGAGAGACCACATTTTGACCAATGCCAGGGCAGGTGGTGCATGTATATGCCATAAAGCAGGATTGTGGATCAGGCCAGGCCCTGGCAAAAAGCAAGACCATATCCCAAAATAACCAATACAAAATGGGCTGCTGGAGTGGCTCAAGGGGTAGAACGCCTGCCCAGCAAGCACAGGGACCTCTGTTCAACCTCCAGCACTTTAAAAAAGAAAAAAAAAACTCAAAAAACAAAAAAAAAAGCTGTAAGAGAAGGCTCAGATATTAGCTGAGGACATATGAAAATAAATTCAAGTGGTTCAGGAAATCAAGAATAGCTAGAAGGGGCAAGAGAAACAAACTGGAAAGGGACCTAGGGACTTTCAGAGTGTGACAGAGGCTAGGGCACGTATTGAGTATGTGGGACTTGAATATAGAAAGCCTCCTTTGCCCAGAATACTCAGAGGACGTTAGTGTTCTCTACAACTGCTAATGTTTTTAAGACTGTCAAGTCTGACTTTAACCAGACCTTTTACTCCTCACATTTAATGCCTGGCATCGCTGCAGGTGATCTAAACTTACCACCAGATTATATTCCAAAACTTTAATATTAAATCAGCTGCCGAGAACTTAAAAACAAATTGTCACACAGAAACACGGTAATAAATGGTGATGAGTCTCTGTGGTATGGCAAAGCAAGCCTCACTAGTCCACAGCACACTCTGAATTGACTACTAGGGACAGAGGCGATGTAGTAGATGTGGTTTGCTTCCTTCTTCTTAACTGTAGGAAGTTTTTAAAAATCAGACAATTTGGGGGAGGGCGGTGAATGGAGGTGGTTAAGGAATACAACAATGAAACCTCTTGCAATTGTTTTAAGCCTATTTAGAATCGTCACAATGAATCCCCCAGTACAACGAACACAGCCTAATAAAAATGGAAAAAAAGTATTGCTTCAAACATGTCAAAAAAAATTAGACTTTTTTTTTTTAAAGTAGCTTATTGGTGATCATTTACTCTGAAGCACAGTGAGTTACCAGAAATACCCTGCTCTAGTTTTTCAGTTTTCAAGAATATGGGTATCTGTCTCTGATTTGGGAAGGAGCTTATGGACTTGCCCCAACAGTCACTCCAGTAATGCGGAGTTAGCAGAATAGGTGTTCTCTCACTGTGGGAGCCAGATTGGAAATGACTTCAGGTACCTGGTTAGGTGGCAGTGAGGCTACGTCAGCTAACTGTCCCAAGAGTGAGACTCCTGTGTTGTTAAGATATGGCTAAGGGCCACAGAAGAGGAAAGCACCATGGGTTTAGGTGGTTGTGAGAGTCACATGTAGGCACCTTTGCACATCTAACAACATTAACATGGTCCCAAGGCTCGAGCTAAGACCAACTTCGAGAAATAGTAGCTCAAAACTCCACACAGGGTTGGGGGTGGAGCTCTGGTTGAGCAGTTGTCTAGCATGCATGAGGCCCTGGGTTTGATCCCAGCATGGGGTGGAGAGGAGGGGCAATCTTAGACTGCTTTATGTAAATACAATTTTGCAAGGCCCTAGGGTGGCAAAATAAAGAACTTGGTCAATAACCATGACTGTGGCCAGATGAGGCAGCGTCTGGGCTTCAGGGCAAAGTGAAAGTTCCACAAAACCTTAAGAGGCTTGGCATTTCCCCTGTTCCCCCACGCTGAAGAGAGCAACAAAACACTAAGCAGAGCCAAGCCACCTTGTCCCTGCCGTTTATAAAAGGTGATAAAGCCCCAAAAGCATCTGAAATTGAGAGCAGTCTTTTTTTTTTTTAATGTGCAGTTTTAGAAAGAAAGATCATTTAAGCAAATTTCAGTAGGTGTTGACTCTGTCCCAATTTTAAGACGCTCACAGAAAGGAAAAAGAGTGACCAGTAAGCAGAAGGCGAGAGCATAGCTTTCCTACAGCAATCTTTGCTTTCTATTACTAAAAATAGGAAAGGACCCTGCACAATCCCGAGATCCCTAAAAACAAGCACTGGAAACGCTGATCAACCGTCCCAATGTGAAGCTGCACCGAGCCAGCTGCAGGCCTGTGACTGTATGCTGAGAAGTCATAAGCAGGAGGGCTGAAGTCAGTCTACAAAAGAAGCATTGTAAGAACTGAAGCACTTCCACAGAACCAAACCACGCCATGTTTGGTTCAGTTTTAGGCTACTTCTGAGTGGATCGTCCTTGAGCAGAATCTGCAGTGAGCAAAGCTGGGAGGCTGAGCACCAGCTCTCTCAAAGTGAGAGAAAGGCAGAGCTTGTGAAGAATCTGACCATTCAGGGTTCTGCCCTCCCTGCCCCAGGTACACTACATAAAAGGATTAAAGTAAGCCTCTGAACACATCCCTCTAAAGAAACAAGCAACAGAGCTAAAGAGCAGAAGGCAAGAAAAGAGAACAGACTGGTGTCTCAGGGAAGCATGAAACGGAAATACCCCTCAGCAGACTGAGGAAGGGACACAGCGCAGACACCTCATCCCAGACACCAGGTCTGACTGCTCCAGATGGCTAGAATAAGATGACAAAACTCAAAACTTCCTGCTAACGTTTGTTTAAAGATATCACCTAAGATAACTCAAATCATTAATACCCAAGGCTAGGTATCATTGGAAATACTGAGAGAAAACATTTAATGTGAAAAACGTATATATTAGCGCTGGACACAGAGGCATGTGCCTATCTATAAATCCAACCAACTCAGGAGGCTAAGAATCACAGGCTCCAGGCCAACTGGGCAACAGAATGAGATTCTGTCTCAAAAAAGAAAGAAAGAAATACATAAAATATATGAAAATACAGCCACCTGACCACTCTGACTGATACTAAGAAATATAACAATTGCATTTCAGAAGAGGTAAGAACCAGAAATAAGAATTTTAAAAAGGGAGTGGGCAGTGACTGAAGGAAAGAGGTGAAGACCCACGAGGCCTAGGAAGGAAGGAAGAAAGGGTAGAAGAGCGGCTGCTTATGTACATGCACCCACAAAGGCATGTCTTACCCCTTAAAACTTCCTTTCGACCTTCTGTTTATTACGTGGCATAGTTTGCATTTGTTATCAAACATTCCATATATCCAGGACCACAGACATATCACACAGCACATGAATCTTCATGACATATACACTCGCCACTCCAAAGCGAAGCTGAGCCTGTCCAACCCTTGCTGGTTTGAGTATGAACCGTGTAATGACTGTGCAGTGAAAGTTCAGGGAAAGAGCTAAAATTGGGGTGCAGTGTCACAGGCTCTGGAGGGCTAGGATAGCAGTAATGTGCCAGACAAAATAGAAGTATTTCAGCACCTAAAGAAGTGATACAGATGTGTCATGTATCTGCTGGTAACCAGCCCTACGTGCAAGCATGTGCATGTACTCTGTGTGCACACATGGAGGGTGGAGACTTGTAAGTCTCTCACATTTGTAACTATAAAACAGCTCCTGAGAATCCCTGAGAGCCATGTCTTAGCATTCAGACTATATTACACAATGACCAGTAACTCACCTTTAGCACGTGCTCCAAATGCACGGAATTTAAGTGAGAAAAGAAATGGCAAGGTGAAATGGGAGAGTAAGGACCTCTGCAAATCCTCTCTGCTAGAAAAGCAGCAATGACACTAGCAAGGAAGTCGAGAGAATTGACTGTTTCAAAGCTCTGGAGATTAACCAAAGGCGTGCAGCAATCAGAGGTCATTCAGCACAGAAGCTCAAAAGGTGACTTTGTGGCGGACTATAGACTTTCCACTGCATATTCCCACCTGCCCAGAGAACTGTCCTTAGCTGGCCTGCCCAGTGGGCCCCCAGAAGCTCACACCTACCAGGCTGCCCTTATCTGACCTGCCAAGAGCTAGCTCACCTACTGAAAACAGCCTTTTCTACTGGGGCAACTGTTTAGCATCATGGACACCCAGGGAAATGGATGACAGTTTAGGCAAACAACAGACTAACCCAAAAACCCATAAGGAAAAGCTGGAGAACATGATGGCCAGAAAGAGGTTTGCAAATCTGACATTCCTGGGATGGGAATCAAGAAAGCCGAGGTACATAATTTTGAATTTGCACGCGCTCAGAAGAGATGTGATAAAGTGCTAAGCTTTCACCTCTGGATGACCTTGAGCTTCTGGCCATGCATGAAGTGAAGGTTAAGGCAGAATTGTAAAGTGCCTTACTGAGTGTGGAAAGTGTGCCACAACACGCCCACAAGGCCCCTCTGTACAGGCTGGGTGCCAAACACTAGCAACCAAGCTGACTTCAGAACTAATTCTTGCAGAACTAATTCTGAAAAGTCACTAAACAACCAGTTTGGTTGTACATGCCTGTAATCCCAGCACGCAGAGGACTGAGTTTGAGGCCAGGCTGGGCTACATAGTGACCCTATCTCAAAAAAAAAAAAAAAAAAAGTCTCTAAGCAAACAATGACAACAAATCCTTAAGAGTGAGTGGAATCTGATTTCCAGAGTTGTCACATTATATTATTAAAATGTCTTGCTTTCCAGAATTATAAGACATACAAAGAAACAGAAAACAGGCCCATAAAAACAAACAAACAAAAAAAGACAGCAAAAATCTCTGGGGAAGCCCAAGGTGAGACTTGTAGACAAAGACTTACATCAACCACTGTGAATATGCTCAGAGAACAGGCGCAAAGTCAAGGGGGCTAGGTATGAGAGTAATGCCTAAGGTCTCACCAAATGCAGAGTACCAATAGAGGGAAATTCTTGTTTTAAAGTACACCAAAACTGAAATTCTGGAGTTGAAAAGCCCAATAACTGAAATGAAAATTTCAGGGGCTCCACAGCAGATTTGAGCATGCAGCATAAAGAAGCAGCAACACTGACAGAGGTCGGCTGAGATTATCTATTCTGAGAATCAGCAAGAAAAAGAATACAGAAAAATGGATGAAGTCTGAGACTTGTGGACCCCGCCAATCATGCTGATGTGCGGCGCAAGGGAATTCCCGGAGAGCAAGGAGAGAAAGGGGCGGAAATAAAACTGAAGACAGTCCAAACTGACCTGGGACAATATAGAGGCGGAATTAGTAATCAGAAGACATTCCACCAAAGAAAAAACCCAAAAACAAAAAAGCTCCAGGCCACATGGCTTCACTGATGAACCCCATCATATATTTAAAGAAGGATTAACCAATCCTTTATAAATGCTTTAAAAAATATAGAAGGAACACTTTCCAACTCATTCTAGAAAGCCAGTATTACGCTGATACCAACACCAGGCAAATTTAAACTAAGATCTTCTGCTTGTTCAATTTGGAACTCAGTGGTTGTTGTTATTATTCGCAGAACTGGGGTTTGAACACAGGGCCTCACGCTTGCTAAGCAAGAGCTCTACCACTTGAGCCACTCCTCCAGCCCTAATGGTAATTATTTTTAAAACCACTACCAAGATGGCTTATAGAAACCTGGAAGCTAAACTGATGCCTAAAAAAAAGAATTCCACTTGGCTTGGCCTGCTAAGCAAAATTGCCTTTAACTTTCCCCTTCCTCCACTTTTCATGAACCCTGAAAAGTTATTCCACAGCAAAAGAAAACACTACAAATTCCACTCACATCCACGCTGGGGACATGAATCAAGTGGTAGAATGCCTGCCTAGCAACCGCAAGGCCCTGAGTTTGAACTCTAGTTCCACCAAAAAAATAAAAATAAATAAAATAACCAGAGCAAACTGGACTGGAGGTGTGATTCAAGGGTAGAGCTCCTGCTTTGTGAGTGTCTACTTTGTAAGCATGAAGCCCTGAGTTCAAACCTCAGTCCCAGATTAGCAAAAACAAAACAACCCAAAGCACTTTAGCTGAAATTTAAAGCCTGGAGGTGTGGCTCAAGTGGCATAGCAGTGCGTGCCTAGCAAGCATGAGGATCTGAGTTCAAACATCAGCACTGTCCCTCCAAAAAAAAAAAAAAAAGATTAAAACTTAACTCCCACAACCCAAACAAAAGAAGCTGCCAGCCTTACAGTATGAGTGAGAGCTATCCCAGCACATACTCTACCACTGTAGCCATGCCCCCAACCCCAGGAACCTGTATTTTTAAATGAGTTTTTAAGCATTTGATGATCAGCCAAGTTCATGAAGCTCTGATCCAATAATGGTCTAATAAAACGAATCAAAGCCAACTTCTTATCCAAGTAATGGAAATCAGCTAATCACCTATCTCAATTCCCTGCCTATGAAAGAGAGGCTGCAACCAGCCCTCTGCCTGGGACTAAGCCACATTCTGAATAGTTGAACAGAGAGTCTCCTAAATAAAAATGGTACTATCAAACACTGCACATGCATGATTAGGACGTGGAAGTGTCTACTAGTCTCCCAGCAACAGAGCCAAAGGAGATCAAATAGAATCAACTCTGCCACCCCAACCCACAGTTACAGAGCCCATATGGGCGTCAGTACAAGAACCTCAAAACACTGGAGTCTTAGTCCATTTTTCTATCCCTGTCTTCCCAGAGAGAATCTGATCACTTGAATTAAGATTTCCTTTTAGGAAGAACCTTGCTGAAGGAATTTTCTAAGTCAGAAAAGGCAGCAAAGTTTTTCCTAACCAGATATCATTACTTCGGAAGAACTTAAGCAGAGATCACTCACAATTAGAAAAATAGATGCAATCACGGTGTGATCATGCAGCTAACATATGAGGCCTACTGTATGCAGGACACCTCCTTAGGCAGGAACAGCACCAAAAGAGGCGTAAATTCTTTTCCATTTCCTCAAAAAACTAGCAAGGAGGGACGACAAACCTTTCAAAAGACATGCCTGTGTTATAGTTACTTAGAAAAGCTTTTATCACAGTATTATTCCTAATAGCCATAAGGTGGAAATAACCCATATATCCAACTTACAAATGGAATAAAACGTGGTATAGCCATAAATGGAATATTGTTTAGCAAGAAAAAGAAAAGAAGCATTGATACAAGCTGCAACTTGGACAAGCCAAGAAAAATGAAGCCAGTCACAACGGACCACGTTCCGTGATTCTGATTTGTCTTTCTGGAAAGACAAATCATAGATAGGAGTACACTGACAACTGCCTAGGGCTGGGGACATTGAGGGAAATAAGGACTATTAACGAGGACAGTTTCTTTCTGAAATAATGAATATGTTCTAAAATTGACTGTGGTACTGGCTGAACAATTCTACAAATATACTAGAAACTATTGAGTCATACACATAAAAGTGGTAGATTACATGGTATGTGAATTATATTTCAATGAAGTTATTACAAGCATCTTTATGGCGTTACCTACTAAAGCTTAATATGCATGCATTCCCTATGACCCACTAATCGCTCTCCTAAATTTATTAATAATTTTTTTGTTTCCTTCCTTTTAAAGTTCTCGGGCTCAAAGTCAGGGCATCACACATGCCAGGCAAGTTCTCCACTGCTAAGCTACACCCCTGCCCAGGCACATCTACAAATAGACAGCCACAGAAGCACCAGTGACAACAGCCAAGAAGCAGGAAACAATGAAAACCTCATCAACGATAAGCTATCCAAGCACACAACAGAAGAGTGTGCAACAATGAGTGAGCAAACACCACACCATGTGAGCACATGGATAAATACCACTCACGATAGAGGCAAAAGACACCTGACAAGAAGAGCCCACAGTGCATGGTTCCACTTAAATACAGGCTAACAAATGGGCAAAAAATAGCTGTGGTGTTAGAAAATGTGACAGGGGTTACTACCAAATGGTGCGGTGGACAGAGGGGTCATGAGGGAGGTTTCTGGGGCACGTGCTACAATCTGAATACCAATTTCACAGGTGTGCTCACTTTTGAAAATCTACGTAATTGCATATGTATACAACTTGTACACTTTCAGATCTGATATTTCAGTATTTACCTAGAGACATGTATACAAAGAACAAAAGCCCAAACGTGAACGAAACATGAGCTCCTGGAAGGTAGAGTCTGTTCCTCAGATACTGTATCTCCAGTGCTCTGAATCTAGAGGTGCCCAGAAGCATCCAATGAAGGACCCATGGAGATAGCCCTTCTCCACCTTTGTTCCAGAAGGGATGAAGCGCTCCGAGTGAAAAGGCAATGTGATGCTGCTCACCTGGGCTTTCTCTCTCTTTGCTCTGATCAGCGTGTCCTGGTAATGCTGAGCCACTTGGGCAAGGACCCCCTCGAGCTTAGCGGCAGGGATCTGCAGGGCCCGCAGGGTCTTTTGGGCGTCACCCTCATCCAGGGCCTCGTTGATTAAACCAATGGCCAAAATCCCTGAATGTAGAGGGAGAAAGTTATGTTTCATTAAGGGTTTTATGAACAAGTCCTAGCTGGACATGGTGCTGTAGACCTGTCGTCCCAGATGCCCAAGACGCTGAGGTAGGAGGATCACTTCAGCTCACAAGTTCAAAGCCAGCCTGGACAAAATAGTAAGATCCCTTTACAAAGAAAAAAGTAAATAAATAGAATAAAAAATGAACCTTGAAACATACTAATCTTGAATCAGCCTGAGAGGAGAGTAACCATGATTCAAACTTCGATCCATCACCCAAAAGGCCCTGTACTGATTCCTACTGAAAGCTCAGCTTTTTATGTTTTATTTTTAGTTGGGCTAACTTAAAAGTGATGAAGATTTGTTGTCTAAGACAGGCTTTCACTGTACAGCTCAGACCGGTCTCAAACTTGTGATCCTCCTGTGTCTGCCTCCTGACTGCCAGGATTGTAAGCATGAGCAAACACACCCAGCTGCAAAAGTGATGGGGGTTTTGATGAAACTGGCTTTAAAGCTTTCAAACATGTAATCAGAATCATTCTTGGTTCACAAAAAGTCAGAGTTTAAGGGATCTTTAAAAGTTCCCAAATTCACCAGGTGCCAGTGACTCACGCCTGTAATCCCAGCTACTTAGGAAGCAGAGATCGGGAGGATCGTGGTTCGAAGCCAGCCCAGGCAAATAGTTCTGAGAGATCCTATCTCAAAAAAACCCTTCACAAAAAAGGGCTGGTGGAGTGGCTCAAGGTGAAGGCCCAGAGTTCAAACCACAATACTGCAAAAAAAAAAAAAAAAAAAAAAAAAAATCCCAAATTCAGTGTTTTTACAGAAGAAAAGATGAGGCTCAGGGAGCCTCTAAGATCTCACAAACAGGAAGTAGGTGGAAGAGCAAAGCCCGGGCACCCCATTCCAAGGCAAATCTCTTCCCATTAAATCAGCTGAATGATTCTCGAAGGCAATACAAGTTACAAGTGAGACAGTCACTCCTTGGGACCCCACATAGCCATGTTGCTTTTGTAAGGACTCGGTTGAATAATACAAAATTTCACTGGTCGTTGACCCTGGTTTCTGGGAAGGAGCTTCTAAAACCTTGAAATATCCTGAGTGATCGGTGTGTCTGTTATTTATGGTGGCACCCCACCACACGTCTGAGTGTATGGTAACCCACGACCACTCCTGGGTCTATAAAGTTCCAGGGATGGGGGCTGGTCATGCTGGAAAGACCAGCCGTATTATTGTAAGGCTGGGACTGGAGCCACATAACACCAGTGAGGCCTCCTGGCTGCCAGGGAGGCTAATAGTTCAGTCAATCGTGTGTGTCTAATGAAGTACAAATAAGACTCTGGACATCAAAGCTCAGACGAACCTCCTTGGTTGGTAACATATGTACGTACACCTGTGCCAAGACGATGACACATCCTGAGGGCACAGCGTCTTACTTGGGACCCTCCCAGACATTGCCCAATGGGTCTCTTCCTTTGGCTGGTCCTGAATTATCCATAATAATAAAACTGTAATCGTAAGTCTAGCACTTTTCTGGGTTCTGTGAGTCATTCTAGCACACTACTGAACCTGTGGGGACAGAGGAAACCCCCACATTTGATGCCAGCTGTTCGGAAGTGCAGTGGCCTCGCAAGGTTGAAGCTTGTGGCTGATGGCTGCAGTGAGAGGAGTCTCACAGTGGAATGAGAACTGCGCCCTCAACCTGGACATGCTGGCCTACTTTCAGGTACTCAAGGTCAGAACCACTTGTTATATAGCTCTAACAGGAACAGATCATGTACAATTCACCTCTTGGGAAACTTTATCTTATTACTTACCAATCATAGCAATTGCCTGGCATTCTGAAAACAATAGCCTACCTTAGCTTTTTGAGATACCTAAATATTTTCCAATCTGTCACTGAAAAACCCTTGAAGGAGTGGGATCTGGAACAAGTTCATGGAGTTACATCATCTTTAATAGTGACAGTGGAAGGAGGACAGGATGGTTACTCACGCTCATGTTCCTCTTGCACCACGAGGTTCACATGGTCCACGCAAGCTTGGATGTCATTCCACGTAATAAACTCGTTGTTCTCAGCATGTGCTTGTGCTTTTAGTTTCATCAGCTCATCGAGATACCTATCCCAGCCCACAACCAAAACAAACAAAAGCAGGATTATTGTGGGTAACAGGAAATGAGAAAACGAAGGAACAAAGGTCTCAAGGGTACCCCAACTATTTGAAATAATCTACAAGTTTGGGGAGCTGGGAATTGCCTTGAACAAAGTATAAAAATGCAAGGAAATCACTTATTCTCAAAGCCCGTATATATTCTAAATTCCAAGTAAGACCAAGTCTAGACTCAGGGGCAGCAGCTCAAGCGACTCCTGTAAAGACATAAAAAAAAGGCCAGGCTGGGGGGTGTAGCTTAGTGGTAGAGCACATGATAGCATGCACGAGGCGAAGGTATAATTCAGCACAAAACCAGAGCAAGCCAAACGTGAGCTAAAGCATACAGAGGGAATGAAGGATTGCAAACTCATCTTTCAGCAACTATTAAAGTGTCGAGTTAAGCAAGTTTTACCTACTGGGTTAAAAATATCAGGTGGATGGTTAATGGGGAAAGGGCATTCTGACAGTGCAAAAGGCTCAAAAGCAAAGGATGTTCTGGTGATAAAGGAACACCAGAACATAAACATACAGTGTGGTGCAATCTGTCTCCTCCATCCAGAGACCAGCCTTATCATCTCTCATGACAGGAAAAGTAGATTTTATGTGCCTTTTCAATAAGGCAATACGAGGCACGTATCAACAAAAATGGTGAACTAAACCGTGACAAGCCTCCAGGTCTAATTTCCAGCTTATAAGAATAAGGACTGGGAGTGTGGCTGTCTAGCAAGCACAAGACCCGGAGTTCAATCCCCAATACCGCAAAAGAAAAAAAAGCCAAATATGAAGAGGGAAACTTTGCCGGACAAATGGCTCCATCTCTTTAACAAGCTGGCGTCAAGAAGAAAAGAACCATTCTAGAGTAAAAAAAAAACTTGAGGGACACAAAAGCCAGATGGTCCTGGACTGGATCCTGACCTAAAAAAACCCAGCATAAATAGCACAGTTCTGGAACAACTGAAGAAGAATGAAAATAGACTAGACTTGCAGGACATTAAATAGTGTTGATTTTGGCTAACAGCAAATTTACTTAAGCATATATAGCTGGGAGCAGAATGTCATAGTTATCTGCAGGACTGAGGTTGTAGGTCAGTGGTAAAGCACTTGCCTAGCATGAGCAAGGTCCTGGGTTCCATGCACCGCAAAAAAAAAAAAAAAATCATGGTACCTCAGCACACTGTAAACCCTTCAGTATAGTCCAGAATAAAATGAGTCAAAGCAGAGCAACAGAAGGCTGAGCACACTAAAGACATAAAGCAAACAAGAGAGCCGACATAGGACACAATGCGCCCACCTCTGACAGTTTTCTTCCTCGACATTGGTGAGGCCTGTAACTGAGCTGCTCAACTGCTTCCATACGGTGCTCATGTCTCCCGACTCCAAGGCCCTGTTTATAAGGGCCACTGATGACAGCATCTCCACAGCAACAGAGAGCTCCGGATGGGTGAGGCTGTGCTGCACAGAAAGGGAGAGAAAAAACAGTGAGGAAAGATATTCTCAATACCAGGGGAGTCACAAGTTCTGAAAGAAAGCCCAGTTTCTGGAAAGGTGCTCTGCCCATGACGTGGGTATTAAACTCACTTGCATCCCGCTTTGCTCACAAGCAGGGCAGGCTCAGTTGACTTACTTCAGGACTCTGCTGCTGCAGGGTGGCCAGCTCCTTCTGATACAGATCAGCCGCAAATGGATACACCTGTGGCAGCTGGGCTTCGGGATTCATCAGCTCCAGCACAGTCTTCTCAGCAACACCCTTCTGGATGGCAGCATTGATGGCTGCCACTGCGGCCAACCCTGCGTAGGAAATGGGAGGTCAGAATGTAGCAGGCATAGGAGCCTTGTGGCAGAGGCGCCACTTTTCACCAAAGAAAGTTAACGTGGTGTAGATACGATACTGGCCATGAAGTTCAAAGTGGACTTTCACCTTTAAAAAGGGTCAACTTTTTAAGGTATGCAAGCCATCTCAATAAAGTAGACCACCTTCCCTTTCCACCCCATTCACATCCCATAGGCCACCACTCTTCTCTGCCTAAGACAGCTAACTCTACCTTCCCTGGAGCTTACCTAGCAGCTTCTTGGGCCACCATTGGAAGCTTCCCAGATCTTCCAACACTTCATCTATACCACTTAGCCCAAAACTTTCTTGTAGCCACTGTTCCTCTAGCATATCCTCCAGCATCTGCACCTCTGCTCCCACTTCTGTCTCCCTTATTGTTCCACATTCTTTTTTCACTATCCAAATCTCACCAATCTTAGGTCCCCTTCTCCAACTAGCTCCCTAAGCCAACCATCAAGTGCTTACTAGCCAAAATGAGTCTGCACAGACTCCAGTCCCACTCTTAGAATCAGCAGAGCACAAGTACTAGCTGGCTAGTAGGTTTTGGGGGTGGGAGGGGGGTTGGCGGGCGGGGGAGATGGCAACTCTAACCTTCAATGACATTAAGCCACAAGGTCCCCCTCCTGAGAGCACTTACTTCTCTGATACTGCTGGGCAGCACTGTTGGCAGCGTCCACACTGGACTGCACCTCCTCCTTCTGCAGGGGGTCAGCCTGACCACGCTGAGAAAAGCAAAGAACATTTAGAGACGATTACTCATGCCTCTGCCTGCAGCTCTGATAGTCCTCATATCCTAACAGCAGTCACAAGGAACAGGGAGTAGCAGACAGTGTAAGCTGCAGGACACATGCAGCCACAGCGGCAGCCTGGCTAGACCTAGGCCCTTGCCAAACCTGGGGTAGAGAGACTTTCCAGATGCCACTATATTTTGTAACAGTATTCTGTAAAAAGCATCAAAATGTTCTAGACAAAATGTTTATGGAATCATTAGCACATTAATGTTGCTTACTCTTGACCAATATATACTGGGAATTTGTAAAATATATTCTCACTCCTGTTTAGACAAAAAGAGAAAGACTTCATATTTGTTCTGGGAAAAACACCACAAAGTATAGTCTCACAAATGTCTATTCCTGAACATCAAGTACTTTCCCAGTGCCAGACAAACCAGCAGGAAAGAATTTTTAAATGGAAATTTCGTTTTCCTCCTAAATGGCACTTTCAATAGTTTTTCTTTTTATTAACAAATATTAGTTATACAGAGGGGTTCCATTGTGATATTTCCATACATGCCTATAATGTACTGTGATCAAATTCACCCTCTATCACTCCTTCTGATCCCTCAAAAGTGGAAATTCCCAAAGAATGAAAGAATGTAAAAAAAATTCAGGTTTGCCCCCAAAGGCTTTTTCTTGGGGAGGCAAGGGGATAAAGTGAAGGGTGGGAGTGGTGACCGTTATTTCACAGTTCTAAAAGCAAAAGAGGGCTGAAGATAATGTGCCCTTCACCTGAAGATTTTTTAAAAACTAATTTATATAAAGACAGAATTTCTGTTAGGAATAAAAAGGCCAATAAATGTCTTCACCACTGGCATGGGAGTCTTGGGGGTTCCATGGGGCATCCCCTCTCTCTCACCTCTCGCTTCTGCTGCCTGTCGCTCAGGAGCTGCTTCAAGTACCAGTCACTGTTCTGCTGCTGCAGCCCACGCAGGCCCAGAGCTGGTGACTGCAGAGCCTTGAACAAGGCAGGCGCTGTTCCCTGCTCCAAAGCCAGGTCGATACTCGCTAATGCAGAGAATGCTGGTGGGGAGGAGGGGAAGGCAACAGTTTTACAAACATCTACATTAGCACAATAGTGTAGAATACTGTTCCTTCCCAAAAGCAACCTCAGCTGAAGATTACAGAAATGTAACTCGGCCTTTAGCCTTCACTATGGCAGAAGCAGAAGCTTTTAGGATTAAAAGGTCCCAGCAGGCCATTGATCAGATTCTGCACAGACTCCTGGCCCCACCCCCGGTCTACTGAAAAGCTTCCAGGTATAGCCAGGTGTGAGAGCCACAAAGCAGACCACCCGATGCCTGGATTCCCTCTGAAAGGCCAAGTCCTTGTCCAGAGTATGCTTATGGACTAACAGAAAAACAAAGTATCTTCAGTCGCAATTTATTTACAGCTCTCAACAACTGTGTCTCAAAAGCCTTTGAAATCTCCCACCCTGAGTTCACCCACCTCTCCCGCCCTCCTCACTAGCATCAAAACAAAACAGGGCTGGAGGAGGGGCTCAAGTGATGGAGCACCTGCCTAGCAAGCGTGAGGCCCTGAGTTCAAACCACTAAAAAATAAATAAATAAATAAAGAGTAAATGAAATCATACACACAAAAGCACTTCATGTATTGCAAAATAAGATATTAAGTTGGAATTCAGAATTAAGGGTTTTTTAAAATTATAACCACTAGGGAATAATGACTTTAGGATTTTTAGTTTCCTTCTTTTTAAAAGAAAATAAGGGATTACCCCAGCCCTGCCCAGGGACAAACATCTGATCTTACCAAAGTGCAAAAAGAAACCAATAAAATCAAAATATCTGAGTCATAGCAATGCTTATTAATTTTGAATGATTTTGTTAGTTTAAAAAAAAGAAAATTACCATAAGCTCTTAGACAAAAGCAGCAGTCCAAGAGAAAACCATTGAGAGCAGCATTAGTGAGGCTAAAAGATGACAGAAGAGAAGGCGAGAGAACTGTTCCGGACCTGTGTTCTTGCGGCAGCTCCTCTGCTGAGCCTGCACCAAGGGGGCAACTCTCAAGTCATAGCTGCAGGTCTCCCTAACAATATCCAATAACATCCTGCTCTCTGCTGCAAGCCCACAGTGAGCAAAACAAAAACCCTTGTCCTCGTGCAGATTTTGTACCAGTGGGGGACAAAGAAGAAACAAAGTCCAGGTGGCAAGCAGACTTTCTCCAGGCTATACTGCAGAATCTCAGCTATGAAAGGCTCTAGGCACTCACACTTTTCCAGAAGCACAAACTTACCACTAAAAGTGTAATGGTGTAAATGAACACTATTGAATTTATGTGGCAGAGATGATAAAGTTAGGACACTGTTTAAATACTGTTTCTCATTGCACTTTCTCTAATCCCCTTATTCTACTTAACACAAAGTAACCTTTCCTAGCTCCTAAACTATCAGCTTGCTGCTTTTAAAACAATTTTTTGTCTGCTTTTTTGGTGCTGGGATCGAACCCAGGGCTTCACGCATGCTAGGCAAGCACCCCACCACCGAGCTACATCCCAGTCCAGCCTGCTGCTTCCTTATAGGGCAGTGTTAATGGCCTCGTCACTGCTTCTCATGCCCTAGCAAAGAATGCTATCTAGTCTGTCTTTCCAGGACACTCCCTTCTACAATTAGGAAGGCTGTCTCTGCAAGGAATGCTGCCTTATCCTCGCTTACCTCTGACCTCCCCTGATCCCAGTGAATGTTTGTGTACACTGAAGTACCCAAACCTCCAAACAGAAGGCATCATTGCTGTCTTTACTCAATGCCAGCACCTCATATGCTTCTGCTACCTTGTTATTATCAAACTGCCCTGAAACAATTCCTTTTCACATCTACCTTCTCCCCTTCACTGAGAGCTGTTTCAGGGAATTCTTTTATTTTGTTCCTCTGACCACATGAGAACACCCTGAGAAGATACATACAGGTCTTTCCTTATATGTTTACAATTTCCAGACAATTAGCAAGGTAAAACAATAAAGATTATAAAATCCCAAACAATATTGGAGAAAAAAATCCCTTGGTGGAATAAAAAACTCTGCTGGACTTTCTTCTCACACAGACAGCGAAGTTAAGGTGCCCCCATTTATATTTGCTGACTAAAATATTCACATAAATTCAGCACAAGAAACTGTCCATATTTGAAAGGAGCTATTACTTTGCTCAGAAGGTTGTTATCCTGCCAAAAGAGGTGGCTCACACCTGTAACCCCAGCTACTCAGGAGGCAGAGATCTGGAGGATCACACTTCCCTAGGCAAAACGTTGGTGAGACCCCATCTCAACCAATAAGACAGCAGTGGTGGTGTGCACTTGTGGCCCCAGCTACCTGAGAGGCAGTAAGTAGGGTGATCACAGTATAAGTCCAACCCTGGGCAAAAACATGAAACCCTACCTGGAAAAGAACCGTAACAAAAATATAACTAAAGCCTGCAGGACTCAAAATGATAGAACATCTGTCTAGCAAGCACATGACCAAGTTCAAATCACAATCTGGTGAGAGAGATGAGGGAGAGAGAGAGTTGTTATCCTAAATAAATGAGCCAGAATGTAACAGAATATAAAGAATCCTGGCCAGAACAGAGTTGACAAAATGAGAAATTTGGGTCTCCCATGGGCAATGAGGACACCGATTACTGTTACTGTGTTGTTACTATCCTAACAAAACAAGATCTAGTCTGGGCTAAGTGGTTGAGATCAAACCATTAGCTCTCCTGGTGCATGTAACCGATGCTAGGAAAAGGAGCAGAGTAAGTAATCTCTCTGTGAAGGAGTTTATAAAGATAAAGAAGAAATGAAGAAGATAAATAAAGATAATGAAGAAAAAACTGTGTGGTTTTAGCTGAGAAATGCTGTGGGAGATTTGAAAGTGTAGTGCTGTGAACTGGAACAGGCACCAAAGTGAGAGCCAAGCTGGGCCTAGAACGATGCATAGCTTGGGTTAGGTAGAGATGAGGCACGAGGCATTTCTGTGGGGAAGACTGTGTGATCAAGAGAGATGATACTGCTGACACTCACTGAGCACTTGCTAATGGCAGGCCATGTGCACCCATGATCTCCTATTACCTCATAATGACTGCGCGGTGTCACGCCTGACACACTGTCATTAACGGGGAGGAGGGCTGGCACAGTAGCTCATTGGTAGATCAGTACTGTGCTCTCCATGCTTAGCATGCAAAGGCCCTGGCTCAATACCCACCCCAAATAAGTAAGTAAATAAATAAAAGGACAACAACTAAATATCTGGCCAATATCACTTCAGAGCCAGACTCTTCACGAGTCACAAATCAAATGAAGATGGAAAACAATTAGACAAATGAGCGTCTATAGGGAATTGCATGCATGAAAAACGATGTAAAGAACTAGGCTGGGAGCTGCATTTTGTGGCAGTAAGGATCCAGTGCAGGTGTGGCAAAGGAGTGGTCTATGAAAACGGTACCTTTGAGAAATTCTCTCTCAAAACTGCAACATGCACTTACTCAAAAACCAACATACAGTAAGTCTACTTTATTCTTGGATGTAGTTGTCAAGTGCAGTCAAAAAACCCAAAAATGTCAGGTGCTCTGGCTCATGCCTATAATCCCAGGTACTCAGGAGGCAGAGATCGGAAGGATCGAGATTCAAAGTCAACCCAGGCAAATAGTTAGAGACCCTATCTCGAAAAAACCCATCACAGAAAAGGGCTGGTGGAGTGGCTCAACATGTAGGCCCTGAGTTCAAGCCCTGATACTGCAAAAAATTAATTAATTTAAAAAACTAAAACATAAAACAAATTTCAAAAACAAAATTTAATTCCCATGCACACATTGCATAGCTTAATTGAAGCATTATTGTCAGTTGTGTTTAAATGGTGTGTATCTGTTGAATGTTTCCTTGTCCTTCATTTTATGAAAATACACTATACCTCCCAAAAAAGGTAAATGGTGGCCAAAAAGCAGGGTAAGTGATAAAGTGAAATTTTGAGATGCACTGAAAGGTGACAGATCTTTTGTAAAAATTGGAAAAATGAATGAACTGGATGGACACTGGTGGTTCACTAACGTAATCCTAGCTATTCAGGAAGCAGAGATCAGGAGGCTAGTGGTTCAAGGTCAGGCACACCTAAGAGGCTGGCGGAGTGACTTAAATGGTAAAGTGCCTGCCTAGCAAGCATGACGCCCCAGAGTTCAAACCCCAGTACAACAACAACAACAAAAATGAATCCAGCATTCATAGTACAGGTCTGAACTCCATGCATCCCGAGCCTGCATGGTTTTTCCTCAACGGTGGGCTCCTTGAACCAGAAACCTGCAGGTACCAAGGGTCTACTGTAAAAACTGTAATCTCACTTTTAAATTATACTTTGAAGGATGTATATAAAGATGTCAAGAGTGGTTATTTCTAAATGATGGCATCTAAATCTAATCTAATCTAATCTGTTTTTACATATTTCCAAATAGCTTGAAATATTTTTCAAAAGAAAACCAAAAATGTGTTACTTTAAAAATAGGGAAACACATTGTTTTTAAAAAGTGTAACTGGGTGAAAGAGTGAAACGACAGCCAGAAAGACCAGTCCCGAAGCTGCTGCAGAGGCAGGAACCAGGGACTTCCTGAGGATGGTGATCATTGAACCAGGCACGGGACACACGACACTGTAAAAAGGAAGAGCTGAAACAAATAACATACTTACTGTTGACTTTGTTTATGTTGCCTTGAATTTCAGCTTGAGTGAGCAGCTCCTCATAAACATCCCTTTCTCTGTCAGAATTTTCAGTCTGAGGATGAGTAAAAGGTGAAATTAAATCAGCTTGGGCTCTAAGAAGACCCCGACCATACCAAAACCAAGAACAAATACAGTGTGCCTTAAAACCCTTTCTAAAGGACAAAGCAGAGTGTTACATGGCTAACTAAAAACACAAGAAACAAGGTCCATATTAATGACAGCACAGGGGTTCCTGCAGAGCTGTGAGGGACTGAGGACCTACATTCTTGCCCAGGACAGGAACAGAGTGGGCACAAGCAGAGGCCAATCTCGGAGCCTCTCACTGGAGATGCAGGCAGGGGCATGGCGGTGGCTACCTGCCTGCAGGCCAATTTGGCACCTATCTTAGGGCTCAAAATCCCTGCTCTTTATGAGAAGAGGCATAAAAAAATATTCTCAGAGTAGGCCTGCCTTCATTTTGCCATCTGAACACCTCCCACAGAACTGAGACATCTGAATCACAATTTTCAAGAGGTGAAGAAAGTCGTGGGAAGTCTTAAATGAGATTCTCAGCTTTATTTTTTTTCAAGTCAGAATCACTCAACTAACTTCCACATACCTACAACAATGGTAAACAAACATTGTACCTCTGAGAAGCCAAGGAAGGAGAAGGGCCATATTAATATCTGAAGGCATCTTTCAAGACTACATACTGTGTAATTCTACCTTTATGAAATTCTAGAAAAGATAAAGTATAGTGATAGGAAACAAACGTGAAGTTGCCTGGAGTTGGGGTGGGAATGTGGGGAGGTAGAGACTGATTGCCAAGAGACACAAGGGAACTCGTTGGGGTGATGGTTAAACACCACAATATTTGTCAAAACCTGTACACTTAAAATGGGTAGATTTCATTGTATATAAATTATACTTCAGGGCTGGGCATGTTAGCACACACCCATAATTCCAGCTCTGGGCCTGGACCACATAGCCAGTTCCAGGCTAGCCTGGGTTACATAGTGAGACCCTGATTTCTAAAGTGGAGTCTTAGAAAACAATTTAAGAAAAAAAGTTAAGTAGAAAGAAGAGAGGCCCCATTTTTACCCTGTTTTTAGCGTTTGTCATTTTGTCTTGCTTGGCCTGGTAGAGTACATCCTGGTAGGTGGATGCCAGGGACTCTTCAAGATTTACAAGCATGGCATTGGGGTTCTTCAAAGCTGCAAATGTGTCAGCTGGGATTCTCCGGTCAATAGCTTCGTTAATAGCGATGACAGCAGCATGCACTAAAGAAAAGCATCAGAGCTCAGACATAGAGATTATAGAGGACTATGAACACACAGAACAACACTGCACCCTTCCTCTTACAGAGAAAGTCTCCTTTCCATTCACAGAGAACTAACAACTGGGCTAGAGGAATGGCTTCAGGATGCCACAAACCACTGGACCATGCCACAGTGCTGCCTGTGTTCCATGTTGAAATTGCAGTCTCACAGGGAAATGTTCATAAGAGACTCTTCAAGAAACACTTGCTATGGAAAGTATTTACCCTTAATTATCTACTAAATACCATAAAAAAGAAAAAGAAGCTGGGTGTGGGAGCTCGTACCAGTAGTCCCAGCACTCAGGAGGCTGAAACACGCAGATCATGAGTTGGAGCTCCAGCCTGGGCCTCCCACATGTCTCAAAATGAAGAAAAATAGATCTGAACCATGATGGAAGGGGCCTGTGTGTGTTTGTCTGTTGGTTTGTGCGTGTTTGTTTTAATGAAACTTAAAAAGGCATGGAAATGTAGGCCTTACTTCCTAAATGCTTTTATTTTAACCAAAATTTATTTCCAAATAATAGAAGACGAGAGTGTTCAAAACTACATCTACAGGCTTCAGCTTGCTGGTGAGATTTCTGCTGCCCAGGTCATTGTACGAGACCCCCATGTGAACCAGAAACGCCCTCCTTACGCGCGGCTTCGTCCACGGACAGCTCATTAGCCAGGATGCCCCCAATCTTGCTGAAGGCGGGCATCTGGATCCCGTACTTCTCCAGTTCAGTCTTCATGTTGTTGATCTCTTCTTCTGCAGGAGAGAATGAAGACCCCCGGTCGTGAATTACGCACTTTCTCATAATTAGAGAGGCAAAAAGACTCCCCAACTCTAACACGGAACAAGATGGCATCTATATCTTAGGGCTGCAACAGGGACTTAGGAGAATCTGAGAGAGCACTGAATGCACACCTGCCACGTAACACACAATTAAAAACTACGATTGCTATTATAAAGGCATCAAACAACTATAGAGAGAGAAGGCCAGATGGGAAACACTCCTTATGGCAGTTCCTTACAAGTGAGTCACAAGCTATCTCAGTCTTTGCCATCCAAATCACTCACTACTATTTGACAATTCCACTTCTAAGGCAGAAAGCCAAATGATAAAGAAAACAATAGGTAAGGCTTGGCCCTTGCCCCAAGTCTAGTGAACAACTTTCCTGGAACGAAAAGTATCACAGATAAAGCTTTATTACTAATTTTTAAACTCCCAGGCCCAGAGAATAAGCACCAGTTTGAAAGATCATCAGTTCTGTCTCAGGCCTAACCACTATTACCACTTGCCCCTTTCTCTCCCACAGCCTCCATCTCCTCAAGTGCCTGAGTACAGCAAACACTCATGGTGGCACGGTTTAGGGTGTGGTTAGACTTGACCCTTGGTGTCTCAAGGTGAGAAGGGCTTTGTGGAAGGTCCTGAGGCCACAGGCAATACCATTCTCAGCTCTGGTGGGACCTTGCGTTAGTTCTCACTGAGGGTTGTTATACAAAGAACACGCCTGGCCCACCCAAGTTCTCTGGTCCTGCCTAGTAATAGGATCTCTCACAAATGTGCTCCTGCCATTAGCTCCTCACCAGAACCCTAACTAATGGAGTTGCCAGACTGGAAACTTCAGCTTCCAAAACTGTGAGTTAAAGTTACCGAGCTGTGGGTATTTGTCACAGCAATGAAAATGGACTAACACCCAAAGAAGCATAAACTTCAAAATCTCTAAATTGCCATCTTTGCGCCGCCTCACTCCCCATTGTCACCCTGACTTGCCCACAATAGGAATTTGCTGGAAGGGAAAGGGAAAGCTTTTTTCACCACATGTGAACATTTCATGTTAGATATAAATGCTAGCATGTTTTACATGTTACATATTAATAAGTATTTGTATGTGCATATAAAGACATGGGAAAACTGAGACTCGCTAATCATGTCCACATCATGAGGGAGAGCAGAGCATGAAATCCCAAGTCTCGTGTATTTCCTACCACGTGGGGACAACCAAGTCACTTTGTCTTTCCTCTCCCTGGCCACTGTCTTTTCAAAGTCCTGGTAGTTTAAGTCTGGAGCTGTTGACTTTCCATGCTATTTTCCACACAAATCAAACATTTCCTGCCAGGTTTGTAACTCCTTACCTGTGAAGTCAACCTTTCCATACAGGTCTTGAATCTGAGGGGCCAGGCCGAGCTTGAACAGGTACAAACTGGAAAACACAACATGCAAAGGCGCTGGGCTCCCAGCTATGGCCGGAGCAGCTGCTGCTCTTACGAAGAACAGAGACACTGGCACATGTTACTCTGACCTAAGGTCAGCCTGAGAAGTCACAGAACACAATGAAAAGAGGAGGACAGGGAAAGCAGTGGACACACACAGGAATTTGTGGCACAAATCTAATGTGTAATTACATGTAAATAGCAGTGATCTATCAGTGAGGTCTCTTTACCTCTACTTACCTTCCTGTGATAATAAGACTCACAAAAATGATTCAGACAGTAAATCTTAAATGAATTTGTATTACTTGTGTAAAAGTTTAATCCAGGTGATTTAAGAGTTTTGAATAAAGTACGTATTATGTATCACTGCTCTTTAAATAAATAAAAAGATCTGCTAGACTCTAAACTCCATAAAGATGCAACAATAGGATCTCTTTCATCACTGTTTACCTAGAACCTGGTAATTATTGACAAACATGAATCAACATTTCACAGGTGACCGAGTGTGTCCCTGTGTTTGTAAGTGGTTCTACAGCTCAAGCAGAACAGAGTCAATGACCTAGAAGAGATCAGTGGGCCCATTAGAGACACCGACATGAACAAGACACTGACAACCTAACAAAAGCAGGAAATAAGAACCATTAGAAACCTAATAGTTTACAGTTTTTACAACTAATCTATGAACTTCAGCATCAGCTGAACACAAATATGCATCATGCAGAATGCACTCACAGAACTGATCAGAACTTAAAACATACATGTAATAAATCCAAGTGCAGACTCAAAACACAGGAGTCTATTTACCCATGCTAATCATTTTCTCAGAGAGGTGCAGGTATAAACCATACAGACATATATATATATATATATATATATATATATAGGACGGGGGGGCGGGGAACTGAGGACATCGCTCAGTAGCTCAGTACTAGAGCTCTTGCCTACCATGCCCAAGGCCCTCAGACCCCAGTACCAAGAGAAACAAAAAATGAGGGTGGGGGAATGCTCCTCCATCATTGTTCACCCAAAGGGAGATGAACAATGCCTCACCCAGTACAATGAAGTGAGGAACCCGCTTTGAACGCTGTGTTCTGATGAAAGAGGAGGCTCTGAGCAAGTACTGCCAATTCACCTTTCAGGAAAAAGACCAGATGAGAGGGAAAGAAACCACAAATCCTAAACCAGAACACACTGCTCTGTGTACACCTTCTAAACACAGACTGACATGTAACAGAAATGGAAAAGAATGGTGGACTTCCTCTCTTTGTCACCTTGACTGCACCATTAGATAGGCACAGTTAACTCCTCATTTGTATTCCGGAGCCTGGGACCCGGGTTACGAGTGGCTATAGAACTAGCAGAGGGGAATTCTGGCAGCTTAGCCTCTGTGCCTGCCACGTTCCGACAGCCACTCTAGGTAGAGCCTTCAGAAGGTGATCAACACAGACCTCATGTGATACTAAACCAATCACAGTGTTTATAATTAATCTGATTTTGACTCAGACACATACATATAAAACTGCTTTACCCAAACAATGTATGCACATGTGAACAAATGAATAAAAATAAATAAATAAAACAAAACTGCTTCATTGTCAACCCAAGAGGTCCACAGGCATCACCTATATTCACTCTTTTCTGTGTTTCATACTCCTTCCAGTGATAACAAAGACAAGCGTATGTCTGATCAAAACCTGGAGGCAGCTGGGAGTATGGTTTATGCTATAGCATGGGATTAGCCAGCACATGATCTTTGGATCCATCCCCAGCATCAGGGGAAAAGGAAAAGAAATGGGGGACAGTAGAATGTGGTAACACTAAGCACACATACAAGATGCTACACAAAAAAGGGCACTCCTAGTAGAGGTCTTACGTTCTCATCCTGCTCACTTCTAGCAACTTCTCCTTTAGTCCTACAGCCACCAAGTAAGTTTGTTAAAACACTCCATGACTGCCCTGTACTCCTGCAGTACACTATAGCATCTCCCTTCCCAGCCTCCCCTCCCTCCAGTTTAGCACCATGTTGCTTCTAAGAACTGAGAACCTGAAATTAAGCCATCTTCCAAATTTTCCATGAAATCATGAAAAAAATCACGTCAGTTCCTATTAACATATTTGTGTTGGTTTAAAAATCATTTCATGAACAAATGGCTGATAATGGCAAAAACCTAGATGACTGAATAAAAGAGACTGCTCCCCAAGTAAAATGCAGAGTTCACAGGGTCACTTGACCAGCAGTGAAAGATTAGATGTTTCCACAACAAAATTGTGTTATTATGGGAATATACAAATCCCTTTCTCGATTCTCTATAAAAACACACCTGTTTCTCACCATTTTGTGAGGCTGACGTTCTTCTATCCTAGTTAAAATCCTGACGCTAATGGATGTCTTCCATTTTTATGTCATGGACAAAAATGTACAATTGAGATGTTATTCCTAAATTGCTTTGTTACTAAGAAAAAGAACTGAGCTGTGGCTCAAGTGGTACAGCACCTGCCTAGCAAGCATGAGATCCTGAGTTCAAATCCAACTATAAGAAAGAAAAAAAAATATGCAACTTATGTTACCAACAAAATCTGGGTACCTGAGTGCATGGATACAGTAGATACATCTCGGCATGTTCTTCCGGTCATAGATGTCTGTGGTTTCTGGGTAAAAAATCTAGGGAGAAACAGAAGACACAGAATAAGTTACCCATTCACTGGTTTCATTTGCTCATTCACCATCATCAACGAAACACATAAAACCATGGGCAATTAGTGAACATCACTGGTATTCAGCAAGTAGCTTCTTCAGGTGAACAGTCATTTGTTTCATCATAAGAACTGCAAGGAGTAAGATGCTACCATGCAGAATGAAAATAATTATGCAGACAATCCCTACTTGGTCAACCTGCTGACCCATTATGTGTGTGAAGATAATTTATTCATTTTAGATCCAGACACAGGCAAATGAAACCCAAGTTCTCGTGCAGTTTAAGTCACCGGCAAGTGTACAAGGCTTAAAGGACCATGGTCTTCCTACTTACCATCTTCCACACTTAGACTAATAACAACAAACACAATGCTTTTGGTTTGTGCAAATTGATACATTTAGACAGTGGGAAATGATAAAACATGAAAGAGAGTGTGTTATAAAGCTTTGGGCAAGTAAGAAGATACACGAATGAAGTAACCAGAACAGAGCTGCACATGGAAATATGGAAGATAAGTATTTTTCCTTGGTGGCACTTACCACAGTCAACCAATCACCTGTAATTATCTGCATAACACAGCTACAGCAACAGACTGTAAGTCACATGAGGGTGGGCGCTGGGTCTATGCTACTCACTGCTGTATCTTCAATGTTAAACCCTGAACCAGTGTCATGAAAGGGGCTATATATTTGGCAGGTTAATGAATGAGGTAGGAGAGCAACACAGTAGGCTTAAATTGGGAGAAGCCTTCAATTTCAAGACCTATTTTCACAGTGGGACAAGCCGTAACAGTGGATAGGAAAAGACTGAACAATGAATTGGTTAGAAGATTCTGGAGAGCAATAAAGACCTATTATACTATGACAGACTGCCAAATTCTAAACTATTGATACACTAATGACGAGAGCAAAAGAAGGTCTCCCAAACAAAAGAAACAGCAAGAAGAAAGTTTGCTGTGTTTGTAAGATAGTAAAGAGATAGAGTCTATTTTCTAAGATGTACAGAATAAATTCTAGAATCCTAGCTACTCAGGAGGCAGAGATCAGGAGGATTGAAGGCAATTGGGGCAAATAGTTCACAAGACCCTATCTTGAAAAAAACCATCACAAAAATAGGGCTGGTGGAGCAGCTCAAGGTGAAGGTCTTGAGTTCAAACCACAGAATCAAAAATAAATAAATAAATAAAATAAACATAAACAACAAAGTCAGACAGGTTTGAATGTAGTAAGTGGGGCATGAAGAAATATCCTGGTTTGGAGCAAAGGTTAAAAAGAGCTTTAGAAAACTGACTGGAGACAGGACACAGGATATATTGAATAATGAAGAGACTGAGGTTGGAAGGGCTGGCTGAGAGGCTGAGAAAAGGTAAGTAAATAAAAGAGTCATTTCAAATCAATGAAGGTGGTTTGGGGACGTACTGAATCTGGAGTCTAAGGTATCACCAAGATTTTGAGCCTGCATGACTGTGACATGTGATAATAGTGACATGATACAATTTATTACACAGAAGGGGATATTTACTTGATGGGAAAGGTAGGTTTAGTTTTATAAATGAAAAACTCTATGCGATACAAAGCTATCCAAGGAGAAATACTCAGCAATCAATTGAAGGTACTGTGTTTCTCTCTTTTCTTTTCTCTTTTTCTTCCTCTCTCCCTCCCTCACTTTCTCTCTCTCTGTCTTTCTTTTTTGGCTGTACCGAGGGTTGAATTCTGGAGGTTGAACTCAGGGCCAGGTGCTGTACCACACCCCTAGTCCTTTTTTGCACTGACTGTTTTTGAGATAGCATCTTGTTCTATGCCTGGACTGGTCTGAACAACAATCTTCCTATTTGTGCTTCTCCACATAGCTGGAAAGGCAGGCACATGCCACGGTGCAAGCCATTGGTTAAAACAGTGTCTCACCAACTTTTCACTAGGCTGGCCTTGATCCAATTCTTTGACTCTCCAACTTCCAAGTAGCTAGGATTATAGGCTTGAGCCACCAAGCCCAACCCTGTGTTCTTCTTATAGAAAAGAATCTTCAGAATAACTAAAACCATGAGAAGGGGAGAGAGTAGCTAAAATAAAGATCACGTAGTGGTGCAATAGGATATGTATGGGGGATAGGTAAAGAAAGCAAGACTAGTTGTGCAGATTAAAAACAATTTAAAAACTAAAAATAAGAATGGAGAAGGTGGCCACAGTATCGATTATAATAGAGACAGTAGGAACTAAACTTTTATCGTGTTAAGTTTCTACACTTAGATTGCATGCTAATTAGGAAAGACATCTACTTTAAACACTGCATAGATATTGTCAATTATATGTCATGTATTATAGGTCAGATACATTTCAGTTCTGTATCTTTAGTTCATGTTATTCGAAGCCTTCTGGACAGAATCACAAAAGGCTGATGGTCGTGACTACCTTGCTGTCCCTGAGAGCCTTTGGGGGACCCTATGCTTCTTGCCATGTGGTCCAGGCCAATATGCTGCTGTTAGCAGACAAAGCCATTTTGTAGGGCATGGTGGCTCACACCTATAATCCTAGTTACTTGGGGGTAGAGATCGGGAGGACTATATTTCAGTGCCAGCCAGGTCAAAAAAGCCCATCTCAACCGATAAAAAGCTGGGTGCAGTGGCACATGCCTGTCATCCCAGCTATGTGGGAAGTATAAATAGTATAGTGGTCCAGACTGGACTGAGCATAAAAGCAAGATGCTATTCAAAAACTAACTGAAGCAAAAATGGCTAAGGGGCATGGCTCAAGTGGTATAATGTCTGCCTGGCAAATGCAAGGCCCTCAGTTCAATTGCCAGTACAGCCCCCACCCCTTTTAAAAGGCATTTTGTAGTAATAATACCACAAGAAATAACAAATATTAATGAAGCTCTGAGTACATTAAATTGTCATTGTCCACTGGCAATGACAATATATAGAAAATAGAAACAGGAAGTTACAGGTGCACAAATAGCATTTTATACTATATAGTATGACATCTTTATAAAAAACAGGAATAGGAAGTTACAGGTGCACAGAAAGGCCAAGTAGCTCTAAGAACATGACATATTTATGGGCCTAATTCTCAAACATCCCGTTCAAGGAAGAGAACGCTTGCGCTCTGCTCAGATGAAACAAGGGCAAGGACAAAAGCCAGACTCAGCTCTGGGTGAGAATTTGGCTCCACACAGGATCCCATGCCAGCACAGCCCTGACTGAACTTAGTTCACCAGACATAAAGTAAGATGAGCCCTGCACTACGATAAATACCAGAGATGCATTTCCAAGTGGCTTCAGTCAGTCACCTTCTGACACTCCACATCTCGCTTCTATTCTTAATCTTTCTTTAGTTACAAAAATTGGAACTCTGTAGTAAAGTACAAAGGAAATAAAAACTGCCCCTAATCCCATCACGCAGAAGTGGGAAACCTATCTCCTTATAGACTTTTCCCAAGAACGTCCACTTTATTTTACACAAAATAATGATCGCACCTTAGCCAGACATCTCTCAAAACCTGAACTGATTCCCTCACCTAACACATGGAAGACAGCCGTTAATGGCACGAGTCTTTCCCTTCAACACAAATAACAACTCTAGGGAAGGAATAAGTAGTTTGCTGCCATTTTTTCTATCATAAGTAATACTGGAAAGCCCTTACACATAATCTTTTTGTGTTTTTCTGTCTGTGGGGAGGGGGAAGAAAAGTTCCTTGAAGCAGAGTTCCTAAGTCAAAAGAAAGAAAACAACTATGCCTCTGAGAGCAGCAACATGGCCTGGCCTGCATGGATAATACCGGGCAGCTAGAGATGGCGATTTCACTAAAGGCAGCGCTACCCAAACTCCTGAGCAAAACATTCAGAAGACGTCTGCACACTCCATATCACAACCACAGGCATCACCAGAAACAGAGAGTGTGTGTTGTTGTGTTGCCTCTGCAATTTAAAACACACCACGACCCCCACACTCACAGAATCAACTGCTCTAAAGCTGGAAGACAGCATCTAACATTTCCTAAAGTCCAATTTTTAATGTAACAACTTTGTGCACAAAGAAAAACCACTAACTATACAATTTTAAATGGTAAATCTCATAGTTTGTGAATTTTATTGAAGAAGGTGGTTAAATCAGCTGGGCATGGTAGCACATGCCTGCAATCCCAGCACTCAGGAACTGAGACAGGAGGACCTCAAGTTCGAGGCCAGCCTTGGCTACAGAGGTTCTCAGTGGTAGAAGTACTTGCCTACCCATACAATGCCATGGATTCAATCCTTAGCCCTGCAAAAACCACTGTAAATAACCACTTTGAAACAAATCTACAACTGATGTAGTCAAAGTGCTATCACCATAGGGAATTTCTCTAGGGTGAGACATAAGGAATACAAAAGGAAAAGAATAAAACTGTTTCTAAATCAAACTGAACAACAGAGATCCTTTAGTGCTTAAAAACATATGTTTATAATCTCAGCACGCTTAAGGCCCAGGCATGTTGGAGAGTTCCAGGGCAGCCTGAGCTGCATAGTGACACCCTGACTCAGAAATGCAGCAAAGAAAGAAAGAGCGGAGAGTAACTTTACAGGTAGAAGGAACTTTATGGCAAAACTTGAACTGTGAACAGTAGGTAAGTCACCTTGGGCAGTCCAATCTCATCCATGGCGTTCAACCACTGGATCACATTATCCGTGTGTCTGAAGTGGAGGCCAGTTGCCTGGAAGAAACAATAGAGCGTTAGGCACTGCTGGCAAAAACTAAAAACTCTCCTTGAGATTAAATCATTGTGCTTACATTCCAATACCAAGATGACAAATAACTCCAATCCTCTCACTTAGGAACCACATGGATACGATGTTCTTGATGGACCACGGTCTTTGGAGCTACATTATCCTAGATTTAGTTCTAGCTTTGACCATCTACTAGTGACAATGGATGGTCAGGCACTCTTTCAGTCTGAGTTTCTCCATCTATAACACCTATTTTGTTGTTTGTTAAAAAGATAGTGTATACATAAAGCACTTAGCATGGAACTTGAACAGAAGAGAATAGAAGAGAATTTTCTTCTATTTTGTGATAGAAGAGAATCACAAAATGACATATATTAAAAATACATCAAGCAGGGCTTCTTTCATAATACACTTAGAAATGGCACCCTGTGCCAGGTGTGGTGGTACATACCTGTAATCCTAACTCCTTGGAAGGTAGAGCAGGAGGATCACAAGTTATAAACCAGGAAAGGCAAAGTTAGCAAGACCCTATCTCAAAAACAGAAAATACAAACAAAAGGGCCGTGGGGATGGATCAAGTAGCAGAATACCTGCTTCACATGCATGAGGCCCTGGCTCAGTCCCCAGTACTACAAAGTCATAACAACACAACCCCTGAAAACCTCTGTCTGCTTAAAACACACACACAAACAAACAGTGCTTAGGGAGGGAGCACAGGACCTCACTCATGCTAGACCAGCACTCCATTAGCGCTCTGCCAACCCCTACATCTGCTAGTTTTGAGCAAGATTTTTTTTAAAAAGTTATTGATATCAGGTCTCTACTTTTCTTTTTTTTCAACCATGTTGCTATTCAATCTACAGAACAGTGCAAAGATGTCTTCAGAATAAGTGCTTACTTGAAATTCAGCATTTTACATTTTCACCTTTTGAGTAAGAAAAGTCTGTCTAGGATATTATTGTCGTTTGGATCTGGAAAGTCCCCAAGGATTGATATATTGAAAGCTTGGTCCCCAGCTGGTAGACTGTTAAAAAGTGATTGGATCACAAAGGGGCTAACTCCTTGGATGGATTAACTCACTGAGGAGTTCATAGCTGAAGGGCTCTTAAGAGGTGGGGCCTGGCTACACTGGGGGTGTACCTTCGAAGGGTGTATCTTCTCCCCCTCTCTCTTCCTTCTCTTCTCTTTCTCCACTCCTTCCCTGGCCTGCTTTCCCAACAGGCACAAGGTAAGCACCACAGGTTACCTGACATGATGTTCTGACTCACCAAGAAACACTGGAGCCAGCCAACCATGAACTGATCCCTCTCAAAACATTGAGCCAAAATAAATCTTTCCTCTTTTAAGTTCATTTTCTCAGGTGTTTTATCACAGCATCAGAAAGCTAACACAGATATTAATTTTGGTCAAGGATCTATACCTTCCTTGTTTTCCCCAGAGCTTAAACAGAAAGTATAAAAACCTTTTTTCACAAGGTTCTGGCAGTCACTCTCGCTCATGCAATCCTCCACTATCATTTAGACTTATTCACAAAGAGCTCATAGGTAGGTTCACTTTAGGAGCAATAGAGACAACAGATTTGGTCCTTGTCAATATCCCAACTTAAACAGTTTTCTTTTTTTGGGCCTCAGCCACAGGACTCAAACCCTTTCACTTATCTTAGCCTTCTCAATTTGAGGCACTTTGCTGTTTTTCTCTAAACTCCAATGTAGCGCTGCAACGCTTTTTCCTCAAGTTACTACAGCAACTTGCCAACAAATCCCAGGGCGTGGTTAAAATTATAGTAAAGTTGTGATTCCCCTAGTTACTTCCTCTACTTTCTAAGAGTGGAAAAGTCATCTGGACCATGGAAATGAATTCATTCCCGCAGGGGCTGAGGGAGCAGCACAGAGCATGCCAGCATGCACACAGTGCTGGGCACTCAATTCTGTACCCACTGCCCTTACAGCCAGAGCTCTGCACTACCTCCTCCTCTCCACCAGACTTTTTAAAAGCTGTACTTTGTTGGAACAAACAGGTCTTACACCTGTTTCTCAACAGCTCTCCCACTGAATAATGTATGCTAGCCCTTCTCTCATTAAGTTTACAGAAATCTAAGCCCAAGCAAGGAAGAGCTCACCTTATATCTGGTCTGCTCTCGATCATAGATTTTTTTCAGGGACACCACCTTGGTGAGAAGAAGTTTCCTAGTTGGCAAGGTAGACTCCATTCCTAAGCCCCTCCTCCAGTTCTGTGGTAGGCGGCAGATCTTCACCTAGGCAGGCTTCCATCCACCTGCACAAAAGGAGAGAGGATGTGAAAAAAGAGGGAAGGTCAGAACTCTTCCTTAGAGATGTGTTTCATTCCCATTTTCCCTGAAAAAGGTTAACTTAAGCACAGCAATGCTCTTTAAAGAGTCATTCCCACACACAGTCACTCACTGGCCACTCAGATCTGTGAGTCAGGGAGCTTAGGAAAGTGAACACACCTTCTCCACTGACTTCCCCTGCACTAGCAACAGAGCTGCCAGGCTCCCCACATCCTGCCTGCCCCACGAACCCCCTCGACTCTCCCAGTCCTTAAGAAGTCCTAAGAAAATATTTTTTTTCCTTTTCTTCTTTTTTTTTTTTTTTGGTGGTACTGGGATTTGAACCCAGGGCTTCATACTGGCTAAGCAGGCACTCTTACCACTTGAGCCACTCCATCAACCCTCTTTGTGATGATCCTCCCACCCCCACCCCATAGGGTCTCTCAAACTATTGGAACTATTGGCTTTGAACAGCAATCTCCTGATGACTGCCTCCTGAGTAGCTAGGATTACAGACGTGAGCTACTGGCACCTAGCAAAGAAAATCCATTTGTAACAGAAGCCAACTGAAATCCCACCAGCTTTCAGGGAAGCATAAGATAAAATGAAGGAAAGTTTAGTTGCATTATTTTTCTAAAAACAGAAACATAGGTACTAAAATTCCTCATGGCATGGTTTAACTGCTCTTTGAGCCACAGAATCTTTTGACTACTATCTGAGGAAAGCTATAGACTGTCCACCCAGAAAAATATATAATTTCAGAGATTTTGTTGACTTTATGAACCCCAGGTTAAAAAACCCATAATTTAAAATTATTTCACTCAAATTGTGCAAGGCTAATATTATCCTTACATCCTCCACATACTGGGGAAAAATTTCCAAAACATTGCTTCCTCTGTTTGACCAAAGTAATAAATCTTTGGAAACCCAAATGAAAAAAGTTCAAGATAAAGCAGGCTAAAGTGAAAAGTGCATTTACTGTCACATAAAAAAATGAAACATTTTAGACTGGGGATGTAGCTAAAGTGGTAGAGTTCTTGCCCAGCAAGTACAAAACTGTGAGTTTAAGAAAAAAAACAAACTCACCCCCCCACCCCCCCACCCCCCCCCAAAAAAAAGATACACAGAAGTTTTATTTTGTTGTTTTTGCTTTTATAAGAGCCTGGATCTTGCTGTGTTGCCAAGTTGGCCTCAGCCCCCAGGGCTCAACGGATCCTTCTGTTTCAGCCTCCTATGTATCTGGGACCATGGGAATGAGCCATCAGCACACACCCATAGAATATAAATTAAAAGGCAAAACTAGAGGAAGGTGGGCGAGGTGTCACGTACCTGTCCCTGCACTCCAGACCAGAGCTATGTTGAGAACCTCTCTTAGAATAAAAACAAAATTTGAGGAAACATTCTAACACGCCTCCCACTCCTCCACAGAATGTATGAGAGAAACAGTAAGATAGAAGTAGACAGCCAGTACAGTAACATGCAAACGGATGATCCTGGGCTGAGGAGTGGCTCGAGTGTAGAGCTCCTGTCTAGAATGCAATGTCCTGAGTTCAAACCCAGTGCCACCAAAACAAAGACAAACATAAATGTTATGATCCCACTTATGGGTTTCAGATTTATTTATTTATTTATTATTTATTTATTTGGTGGTACTGGGGATTGAACTCATCCTCACGATTGCTAAGCAGATACTCTACTTGAGCCACTCCCCAGCCCTAGATATTCTTACATTAATAAAATTGCTAACTACAGAGTGTGTTTTATAAATGATTACGTTTATAATTCAGAATAAAATTTGTATTAATTCTGTATCTTCGAATTGAGACTACTGCTAAAATCTTTAAAAAACAACAGTTCTCTTTTTCTCCAACTCTTTATAGAGGGCACTCAATTTCACTTTCAAGTCTATTCTACCTTTTGGGCAGCCAGTGCAATGTGTGCATATCTGCTGGACCAGAGGATTTTCTGGTTGCTTCCTACAGCCAAAATGTAAGCTTCTCTTCTGGCTTTTCTTTCAAGTAGTAGAATTAATTTAAACTCTAAGAGGGTAAAAAGAAACAAATGAGTTTCCCAGAAGAGTTGCTATAGTAACTTAGACACCAACTTGCAAAAACTATAAAAGCCAAACTACACCTTTGCAGGAGCCAAAAGACCAAAAGGCAGCATCGTGGAGAAGCATGGCTGTTGATTGAGTCCAAGGACATGTATCATACAAGTTCCTTTCCAGTATTTCACCGCTAAAAAAGGATAGAGATAAGACTCGCTCTGGCAATGCAGCTCAGTGACAATCTCACTTGGGCTGTCATTCATGGGGACAAACCCAAAAGCTGTCACCTCAGCCAAATCCGCTCTCCAAGATGTTAGGAAAAAATGATTTATTTTCTTCTCAAGATGATGTGAACACACAGGGTACACTATAGAAAAAGAACACAGTGCCAGGTGGGCATGGTAGCACACACCTGTAAGCCCAGCACTTAGGAGGCTGAGCAGGAGAATTAAGAGTTCAAGGACACTGGGCTACGTAGTGAGTACTGTCTCAAAAAAACAAAAAAGAAAGAAAAGTTCTTTTGCTTTGAACCACAGCCAATACCAGAGGTAGTTAAGTTCCCCTCGTCTCTGAAACTACTAGATTAAAATGAAAATAAAAGGAGGGACCTTAGTGACACCTCCCACAACCTGTTATCTGCTTCCCTATACCACTGCTATAACACAATCCCAATGAATGACCACACTTGTAAGTTTCCCGTAGTGGACACAATACTTTCAATAGAGGACTTAGTGGAAAGGCATCAGCAAAAGGCAGCAGGGAGCAGAGAGGCAACACATAGAAGCGTCCCTGGAGATGGTGCCCTCGATCTCAGTGGCTCCTCAGTGGAACAGTTTGTTTATGAGACTGAAATACGTCAGGACCAAAGTGCTTTGAAATGTAGGCTGCCATGTTACTCTATTTTACAACTATTTTGGGAGTTGGGGGGATGAACAGAGGGTCTCACTTGTGATAAGAAGCCTTCTGCGACTGCGCTATATCCTTGGCCTGCTGCTATCATGTCTAAGGTTTGGCAGTTCAGGGTCTACTTTAATTCCAAGACACAAGCCCTCCTTTCAGTCCTCCTCTGCCACTAAGTCACAGTCTGAGAGCCAGAGCCTAATGCACTTCTAGAGCAAATCCCTTTTCTGATTTTATTTTCAAATGTAATACATACATCATTATGGAAAATTATTAATCATTTCTCAAAATTTTATAAGCATTTCATTTCCTATGTTATAGTTTCTGAAGACTTTTAAGTTACATAAAAATCCCACCAAATGCTTAATCATTCACCTTTGACTAATTATGACATTTCTAAATATTTTCAACCATTAAATAATACTGCAAGGATTCTTTTGTGCACAATATTCTTCTACGTCTAGAATTAATTCCTTAAGAGAGGCCCTTAAAGTCATAACTTGCTTGTGGGTGTGGTTTGGAGGTAGAGCACAAACTTGGAGTGAACAAGACTCTGGGTTCAATTCCCCAGCACCACCAAATGTGTGTGTGTGTGTGTGTGTGTGTGTGTGTGTGTGTGTACATACATATGTATATATACCATTGAAAGTGTTTTTTAATTGTCCAAAAGACCAGCTCCAAAGTTGTGCCTCATCTGCACAATCCCTTCACTTACAAATTAGGAGTAAGGTTTACCCAAGGTCACCTGCAGCAGAGGAGGAACGCCAAGGCCAATTCTTCCTCAGAACACTCCTCTCTACACCACTGCTGTTCTTACCACACCACAGCAAATCCCTGAGGGACTGAGCCCCACAGAGCTGTCTAAACACAGCCAAGTTTCAGATAACCCATATATGAGAAAGGGCTGATATTGCTCTGCGTTCTGAGGTTTTAGACATTTTAGCTTCACTATATATCCAGCAGTGGTTCTCAACTCTGACATAAAACTTTCTTATAAAGCTTCAGCATTTATCTTTATACATTTTTTTAAAAATCTCTACACACACACATCATTGGCCAACACAACTTTGTACTGATTCTCTGTTTAACTGTCTTATCAATAGTCCTTAGAATTTTAAGGTTATATGGCTCATTAAAGACAGCAGGATGGTGCATATCCATAATCCCAGCACTGGGGAGGAGATTGCTGAAACAGGGGGATGACAGGAGCCCAGTCTGTGCTGCCTAGAGTCCCAGGCCAGCCTGGGCTGCCATCATGAGACCCTGCCTCAAAACAAGTGAAAGTATCTTCTATACCTTCTTGTCTACCTGTCCACCTCCCCCACCCTGCCTTCTCTCCCTCCCCGCTCTGATGCCTGAAATGTTCCCAAAACATCTCAGCAAATCATGAAGCAGGCTAAGCCTGACACATTGCCACTGACAGGAAATCAAACCCTCATGGCGGCCACTCTATTTCTGGATCCCAATACCCAGACAGCTTTTGTGCAACCAGAGCCAGCTCCCCATTAGCACCCTGAACTGCCTTTGAAGCAGGAGAGCATTCTGACACACGCACCATGTAACAAGCACTGAGAGACAGACCTGGGTTTACAGCTGGTTTCTGGCACTTAAAAAGCCAGCAAACCACTTAACCAGTTTCCTCATTTTTTGCTTGTTTTGCTTTATAACCCAGGTTGATCTTGAACTCATAATCCTCCTGCCTCAGCCTCCAGAGTGCTGGGATTCAGCATAAACCACCACATTGCACAGTTTCTTCATTTGTTAAAACAGGATGGCAATACCTTCCAAAAGTTTTGTTCTTAAGAATTCAGTAAGACTGCAAGTGAAGTGGAGGCCAGCACAGTGCTTGGCTGGCTACTGAGGAAACACTTGTGCCTTTCCTCCCATGAGTCACCCATCCCAACGCTTCCGTTAACCACAGCGGTTCCAGTTCCTCCAAGGGCTCTGTGAAGAGAAGAATAGCTCACACCGACAGAGTGCTGGGGAGAGCTGGAAGAAAGGAAATACAAGGTGCTGAGCACAGAGCCTGGCACACAGCAA